CGCTCCCTAAAGAGCTTTGTATTGCATTAGTAGAGAATTACAAGTAAACGTTGAAATGACAGTATCACAATAATTCTCCCTAGGGTCTAGAAAAATAAAAAGAAAGACTAAAGAGACATTACATAAGGAAAATACAAGGAAAATAAAGAATAAAATATATAACAAAGAGGTTGGATTCTAACACCTAGCCACCAGCAGCCCCTCCCCCTGCCAGCGGCCAGGCGCCCTACTCCTGCTCGGAGACGGTCGGCCTTCCCCACTTCGGTCGGCGACATAGCCTTCCTCGCCGCACCCAAAACTACCAGACAATCCAAACCCATTTTCTGGGTTGGTTTTAAAACCCTAAACGAGTTTGGGTTTTTAGGTGTTTTTGAGTGGGTTTTAGGGTTTATGGGTCGGCGAACATGGGAGGGGGTCGACAAGGAGTGAGAGACACTAATACGTATGAAGTACAAAGTAGGCTTTTTTTTTTCCACAAGAACTGAACTAAGATATTCCTCTTCTCATTAGCCCGTGAAAAGCGAGGCCCGTTTTAAGTGAGAATTACTAATAGTTGAGTTTGGCTAGTACCAAGACTACCAACTTGTTGTGGTGCATAGCCAAGGTGATATCTATCTATACTTACTATGTATAGTAAAATAATCACCAAAGAGGACACTTGGCATACTTTTGTGAAAAAATTTCCCTCCAAAATGCTATTTATTTATTTTCTATTAAATTTTTTTTATTAAATTTTATTTATGCAACACATAATTTAAGAATTTAAAAGATAGACATTAATAAATTCAAATTTGAAAAAAAAAATTGTTACATAAGTCATTTAATTTCAATTAACTATGTTTAATTCCAATCGACTATAAAGTCTATAATTATTAATAAATCTTATTTTATAAATCCGTGCATGGCACGGGGCCAAAAACTAGTACTTGGCTAAAGTAGACCAATAGAGTGACTAAGTGAGCTTGTGTGTAAGTTGGGTTAGGCGGTTAGCCTTAGTACGCCAACTAACCGAGTTTGTTAATTAGCCCAGGCTAAATGGTCTAAACACTAGACAATTCATTAAATTAAAGGCTACAAGTTATTTAGTGAGTTAGGAGATTTTTAATTTATATATTTTTTTTAATTTATATACTTGTATATAATATGGACTTATGGTATATGTGATCGAAAAATTGGCATGTTGGACCAATTTGATTTGATTTGAGTTGAGTTGGAGGTAAGTTCATACATTATCTTTTAACATAGACTTATGGAGCATCAAGTCAAATCAATTCAAGTTGGGCTTTTCTAAACCATTCAAGCCTTTTAATAGTGAGCTAATATGACTTTGCAGTGGGCTGTTTGAAGATTAAAACACTGGTATCATAACTGATCCAATCTCTTGCCCGTTTTCATGGTTGGACCATTCTTGAAAACCTAACATGATCTTTGACAAAAAAATTCTCAGTCTTGAAATAAAAAATAATAAAAAAAAGGAAAATTTGTAAATTACCACCCATAAAGGGGTCTTATTTTGAAATTACCACCCATTAAAACTTTTATTTTAAATAATCACCCATTAAATTAAAAAACATTTCAGATTACCACCTTTTATGAAATTCCGGTGAAAAATCCGGTTGAGGGCCCCACCTTATTAACTTCCTTCCTTTTTTTTCATTTCCCTCGACCTAACCTTCTGATTGAAACATTAAACTCAAAAAAACATCTTCTCTCATAAATTTCTTCAATTAATTCATCCAAAAGCATCAATCTTTCCCCTTTTTCTTCCTTTAATTATCTGTCAACTTTGCAATTACCCCTTAAGGGTTGAATCAGAACCCTAACATTTTTTTTTCTGCAAGAAATCACCGTTTGACCGGAGCTTCACCTACGAGCTTGCATTTGCTGTTGAAGTCGCCATCTTGGGGTGTTTTCTGGGGACCAAAAGCGCGTAGGTGAAGCTCCTGTCAAATGGTGATGTCAATGGCGACGCTTGAGGTAAGCAATTGGGACCCTTTACAATTTCAGACACGTAGCCTAATTGCCAAAAAAAAACCCCAATTTTAAAGCCCAGGAACCCTAATTCCAAAATTGCAGAAAACCCCCAATTTTATTGCCCCAGGAACCCTAATTCCAAAATTTTAGACATGTACCAGCAGCAATTTGAGGAAATTTGGATGAAATTTGGGGCAAAATTTGTTAATTGATGTTGGATAATTTATAAAGAAAAAAAAATCGAGGAGGGAAACATTCAAAATAGTCAAATTCGCCATTTTTAGCCGTTATGTGGGGCCCTCAAACGGTTTTACCACCGGAATTACAAAAAAGGTGGTAATCTGAAAAAAAAAATTAATTTAATGGGTGGTTATTTAAAATGAAATTTTTAATGAGTGGTAATTTCAAAACAGGACCCCTTTTTGGGTGGTAATTTACAAATTTTCCAAAAAAAAATTATAAAAAAGTCACATAGCATTCGTGGAGTTTTAATTAAAAGTAAAAGTTTTTTTAAAAAAATGAAATTTGATTACGAGTTTTTTTTTTTTTTGGCCAATGAATAAAAGAGGTTAATGCTTGAGACTTTGAGAGTACAGGGAGGAATTAAGGCAATCCCCTACTCCCAAGCAAATTTAGTTGGTAGGGTTTGAACTTGTGACCTCAAAGTTACATAGTGAGCTTCCCACCAACTTCACCAATCTTTGATTGGTAACTAAACTGGGGTTATTTTAAAACGTATTTATGCACTTTCATGGAATAAAACGTATTTAGGCAATCCCCTACTGTTCACATAGGCTAGTTCGTTATTTTTTAATTTTTTCTAGTTTTCAATTTTTTTATGTAGTTAACTTTTTGGTTGTCAGTTTTCTTGATAATCATGACTTTAACAAGTTAGACTAATTTAAAATTTGATCCTAATATGACATAAACCATATGATTTTTCAAAACATAAAGCTGAAATTTAAAGTGATACCGAATGAGCCCTTAAGTAGCGGTTTAACCCTTAAATTACTATCTTAGGACCTTTTTTTTTGGGACTTGAATTGAGCAAGAACTTGGAGTACTACACACTCACCAAAAAAAAAAAAAAAAAAAAAAAAATCTGAGCTTATGTGGACCATGTATATAAGGTTTTTTTTTGTTTTTTTTTTTTTTAAGAAATCATAAATATATTTTGTTCCAATGCAAAAATGTAAAAAAGATTTTTAAAAAAACCATGTTTTTGTAAGGAATTAATCTAGTACCATAACTTCTATTTTGTTCAATTAATCCACTTCAACTGATGTTACCGTCTCAGTAAATAGCTTTTTGAAAAAATTGTTAATTTTTTTCACTTACTTATTGATAAGTAAAGGTATCATTGATCAAAGTTTTGCATTGACATGCGTATACGGTGTTTCACTTAAAATAAAAACGGATGTAATGGGTACGAGTAGTAAACAATAAAGAGCTAATGTACGTAATTGGGTTATGTACTTATGTGTGAGAGAAAGAATTTAAAAAAACATTGGTCTCAGTTTTAAAATTGAAAGTTTTGCAAAATTTCAAAATAATAAAAATGTTGTATAGTAGATATTAAGTAATGACCTAAATCGAAGACAAGTGTGGTAAGGATTTAAGAATGATCGACGTAATATAATAAACATAAATAATTGTCATAATTTGTAAATGCTCGTATCTAATCTAATATTCCCTCCGTTTTTAAATACCTGCTCCACTTTCTATTTCCGTCCGTTTTTAAATACTTGCTCTATTTTCTTTTTTGGAAAGCTTTAACAATATTTAATTCAATTCTCACACCTAATGGACCCAACATAATACTCTCTCTCATCCTATTCTCCTCTATTTTTGCTTTAAATTTTTTATTATCCCAATTAGGCCCTGTTCTTTAGAGCTGCTTTGCTCTGCTCTGCTCTGCTGAAATGTGATGTGCTCTACTGAAATCTGTTCTGTTCTGCTCTACTTAATATTTAATTATTATAATAATAATTAATATTTAATAAGAATAATAATAAATAATTAATATTTATAATAATAATTAATACTTAATAATAATAATAACAATAATTAATTATTGATATTTAATAAAAATAATAATAATAATAATTAATTATTAATATTTAATAATAATAATAATAATAAATTAATAATAATAATAATTAATATTTAATAATAATAATAGTAATTATACTAATATTAATAATAATACTTATAACTAATAATATTAATTATAATAACAATAATTGATTTTTATAATAACAATTAATATTAAGATAATAACTACTCCCTCCGTCCCAAAAAGAACGACCCATTTGGCCAAAATTTTGTCCCAAAAAGAATGACCCATTTGCATTAAAACACCACCAATTTGCAACAATATTTTGCAGCAATATTTGTGCAAAATTAGCTTCCCCATATAAAAATTTCATTTTCCATGTTATTTTATTACTTTTTCTCTCTATTTTTTTACAAACCCCATGTAAATTTATCTTTCCAATATACTTTTACTTCTTTTTACTTAACTTCCTTAATACCCGCGTAATCAACCCAAATGGGTCGTTCTTTTTGGGACGGAGGGAGTGATATTTAAAGATAATACTAACTATAAATTTTTAATAATAATAATAATTAAATAATATTTAATAATAATAATTATTATAATTAATATAATAATAATAATAATAATAATTAATATTTAACTTTAAAAATTTAATGATTATAATAATAATGCGATAATAATAATAATAATAATTAATATTTAATAACAATAATAATAATAATAATAAATACTACTACTACTACTACTACTAATAATAATAATAATAATAATAATAATAATAATAATAATAATCAAATCTGCTCTGCTCTGCTCGGCTCTGCTCTGCTGAAATCTGCTCTGCTCTATTCTGCTCTGCCCAGAAGCTCAAAAGAACAGGGCCTTACCCCACTACCTTTATATTTTATTACTTTCTCCAATTTCTCCTAAAACTTGTGCATGCAAAAATAGAACAAGTATTTAAAAACGAAGGGAGTAAGAAGTAAAAAAAAAATAAAAAAAAAAAAGTGTTGCGAGTATTTACTATTTAAACGATAGACATTTATGGTTTCTACTTTCTAGCGGTTCGTGCCAAATTGCAAGGTTCAAATGTAAGAATATTTGTGTGCTTTCAAGACGACAAGGCAAGCAACAGAAACGCAAAGGAGCAGCAAGGCAGACAAACAGTCATCAGTCTCTCTCTCTCTCTTCACACTAGCCCTGCAATTTGCGCGCGCAAACCAGGTACCTTCTATTTTTGATTAATTTTGGGTACAATCTTGCATTTTCAACTAGTTTATGCTTTGAATTTTTCTGGGTTTTCTTGACATAATTCCTCACTCAATTTTTCTTCTGGGGTTTTTCTGGGTTTGTGTTTCTCAAGGGTTTCAAGAAAAAAACAGCGAAAAAGCTGGGAATTCACATGTACAGGTTAACAATGAAAGCGGTTGCTAGTTCAATGCCGCTGTCACTTCCAAAATGGCGCTCAGTTGTTCTTCTTCTACCTTCTTCACTCCACAGTTGCTCGTCTCTTCGTTCTTCTTCACTCCCAATGTACTCTCTCTCTCTCTAACTTTTGATTTGCTTTAGTCAATATTGTGGGGTTTTATGCAAATTATGAAATGGGTAATAATTGTTTGTTGGTCTGTTCAGCTTATTTTGTTGGGTTAATATATGTTTAAGGGAAAATAGGTATTGTATTAGTCAAATTATTAGGAGCAGGGTAGTTTGTGTGTAAGGATTTAATTTTGTTTGGGAAACATTTGCACTTGTTTGGCTAAAATTGAAGTACAGTATTTGTGTTGATACTTGTGTTAAGAGAGTGTATAGGCTTTGTTGTGTTATGAGAGTGTTGCATAGATGTATGTTTCATGTTGGGTTTTTGTTATTGTTATATACAATGACTTGTTATTTACTGTAAAACGGCATAAACGGGTATTATTCAAGGCGGAGTTTGTAGAATCTAGCCGTTGAGATTGAGGGAGAGGTGAATTCTAGTTCCAGTATGAGTATATAAGAAGTAGGATTGTATTATACTTATTTATACTATTATTGAGAAATGGATTAAAGTGAGCAATGTCAGTCTGTGAAAGTTTTTTAAAAAGTTTTTACTGCTTTGGGAGAGATATGACTTAAAAACAAAGTCTTGCAGTCGTTTCCTGACCGGTCTAGTTGTTATTCTACATAGGAAAGTAGATAGTGTATTCGGGCAATGTAGAATGTTGGGCGTTGTAGGTACGAGGAGCTTTTTTGAGGTAATCGAGATAGGTGGATCCGTGGATGGCATAAATAAAGAGTACTTTGGTAGGAACTAGGAAGCAATTGTAGTTTTTTGCTGGTAGTTTTTACAAAGATTTATGATAAGTATATGTACAATTATTTCGGATATAGTAACACTAACACCTGAGGGTGATTAGCTGGGATGGCAATTGGAAATCAGCTAATAAATAAGTTTGAACTGTGGGATCAAATTACCTATAAGCATTTTAAAATAAGATGTACTATGTTAAGAAGCAATTGCAACAAGTACAAAAATACATATTCAATTGACATCTGTCAAATCTTAAACCTTTTTATCCTAAGTTTGACATCTAATTGTTTGTCATCAAAATTATGTCAAAGGTTTAAATGGGTCATATTTTTTTTGTGCATTTGTCTTTATTCGACTCATTGTTTTCTTTTCTTGTTTTGTTCCTTGAAACGAAAAGATGTATGATGACATTCACTTTTACCTTCTTCCCCTTCCTGCTCTCCCCTTCCAAATAGGGGGACTAAAAAGAAAAGAAATTTGATTTGTGCTATTGCTTAGTTGCAGAAGCAGACAGAGTGAAGGAGTGCAATATTACAGAGATAAAGAAGCTCTGAAAGGAACAACTAGGAAAAACAAGAAAGCTAAAGAATGGAAAGATGTTCTGAGCGAAAAGGACAATTCCCATGTTTTCTGGTGGAAAGAGGTCCTTAGCTATGTGCTTTCTCATTGACATTCATCCCTGCCCATATACATGTCTCTGATGTCTACACTTGTTTACATGTGCACACAAATTTGTATATTTCAACACTTTTATGCATTTCTTTATTTATACATAGCTTACATCTATATTCTTCCGTGTTCCTATGTTGTAGAAATTAGGTGCATGCAGGAAACCTTCAACAGTTCAACTTATTAAGAGACTTGTCTACTCAAACTTGCTTGGGTTGGATGTTAACTTGAAAAATGGGAGGTAAGCTAATATAACTGTCAGTTATTAACTGATTGTTTTTTCTGAACTTTGGCATTTTTCTTTGTGAAATTAAATTTCTTAGATAAATGCTTTTCTGTTGCTTGTATTAGATGTTGACTGGAAGTTAGGGGGTAAGTTTGGAATAGTAGATTCCATTTTGTTTTGGTTCCACATTTATATCTGTTTTTTTGGTGACTGATTTTTGAATAAATCATATATAGATCCTTGTCATCAGAGGAATGATGACAAGTTGTTCAGCCTTTATATACTTACATGGAATACCTTTTCTTTATGCAGTTTAAAAGAAGGGAACCTTAACTGGGAAATGTTACAGTTCAAGTCAAGGTTTCCACGTGAAGTTCTGCTATGTAGAGTATGCCTTCATCTGATTTACTGCCCTTGTTGTTATCACACTTAGCTTCATAATCCTCTGCAGTGGTAGGTTAACTTATACCTTCTTTCCATTTCCTTTTTTCAGGTTGGGGATTTTTATGAAGCCATTGGTATCGATGCTTGTGTTCTTGTTGAATATGCTGGCTTAAATCCATTTGGTGGCTTGCGCACGGATAGTGTTCCAAGAGCTGGCTGTCCTGTGGTGGTATTGAAATGACTTCTCTTTTTGTTCCTGATAATTTCATCATCTCATGCTATGTGGGAGCACATGACATAGCTTCTACTTTGTTTTAACTGTTACTATAGTAGCAGGATTGCAGGAATGTGAACTAATTTGAAACCTGTGTTTTATTCTGGATACTGTCCAGCTTATTCAGTGCTTTGTTAAAAGGAAAGGTCCCTCTGTGTCTTTTCCTTTTCTTTTCAGTACTAAGACTACTAACTGGTAGAGACGTAGAGTCGTTTCATGATTATCTAGTTTCCAAAATAAGATATATCTATGTTTATGTTATATTTTGTATTGCTGTCAAGTGGGCTTATTCCCTTGCCTTTATTTTTACTCATTTAATACTAAGAACAAATGGGTTTTGAACATGCTGTGTTTTATAAGGACATCTCAGAATAAATAGAAGCCTTTTGGGGCTTATAATTATATCCTTCAGAAAGGGCTAGCTCATAGCCAATTTTTTCACTTCTCCCTATGATTAATTCAGATATGTCAGAAAATAATGTTTCATAAGACCCTTTTATTTTATTTTATTTTGAGGAAAATGTTCATAAGACTAAAATTTATTTATACCTCTGTCAAATATGGAGGTTTGTAAAGATATCTTTATTTTACTCTGGCATTGCTGTGAACTTTGCATGCTTGATAATTCAGCACCCCCCCCCCCAAAAAAAAAAAAAAGTGTTTATTTGCCTGGGGATAATTTACTGATTCTTTAATGGAAATCTCTACTTTCTTTATTTGGGTTCTCAAGTGAATTTATCTCTTTTTGTCTGCATGCCAATTCTCCTATGAGATTTACTGTATATAATGTACTTTTGCAGAATTTGCAACAAACATTGGACGACCTGACTCGCAATGGCTATTCTGTTGTGAGTATTCTAAATACTATTGTATTGTTTAAAGCTGTCTCCATTAACATTAATAGATCTACATATAGTCTCATATTTAATCCATGAAGAAGTCAAAAGCTTATTACATGAATGGCTCTACTAGCCTGCTAAGTGTTCCAATGACATACTTGTCTTTAACTTATCCCTTGCTGTGTTTAGGACTTTAGGGTCTTTGTCTTTTGTAGAATTGAAAAACTAAGAGCAGAAGAATTGTCTTCTGTTTATATTGTACTTTAGGTTAGTTGACTGACTGTACATACCAGTATTTATTAATTCCATATAATTTCCTGAAAGTTTCCTTCAAAAATTTTCCTTTTGAAATGACTTTAAATTAAAAAAAAATGTACAATTATTCTTAAAATATGAGTTATGTTATGGCACTCCACATGAAAGGCATATAAGAATCTGAATTGAATTGGAAAATTTTTATGAGTTGCTCACCTGGTATTTTTTGTATAATTTGATTAGCCAAACAATTTGGTTTTCCTTTGCAGTGCATAGTTGAGGAAGTGCAGGGTCCAACTCAATCTCGTTCTCGGAAGGGTCGTTTTATATCTGGGTATATATATGTATATGATATTTTGGATTCACTTTTCTTTTTCCAATCAATTATTTCTGAGTTTGCTTTACTGGCTTTTCCTTTATGGGCCTTGTGGCGCCTTTGATGAGGAGTCGTTTAACATTGTTATGCTGTTCAAGAATCAAGTCATATAACTGACTACTGTTGTTGGTTGAAACCTATGGATTTTGAAGGGACAATCACTTTAGTTAAGTAGGTAATGTGATTTTGAAAAAGGTGTCAAATCCCTTGTGAATCATGAAACCGCTTAAAAAGTTAAAAAGTAGTAATGGTCTGATATTGGGGTTTGAATTTTCCATTGTTATGCACAATCTTTGTACTCCCTTGCATTGCATGAGGAACATGAGGTCCATGACTGACAGTTTTGTCTGGAAGTGGTATCACAGAATACATTGAGTTGTCTCTATTTTTTACCTAAACTAGGATATATATATAAGGTTGAAAGTAGCTCTCCCTAATGACGACATGTTATATTTTTTCACTACTGTGCCAAAAAGAGGTTGGAAAAGAATGTCACCTCTCCCTAGTTGGGATGCTGTTGTTTTCAAGTCCTCTATTTCAAATGGGCAAGTTTTAGTATTTTTTTTTTTTTAGAGAGAGAGGGAGAGAGAGAGAGATTGCCTGGAAGGAGCAAATTAGCAAAATGAACATCTTGTTATATTGCTTTCATTCCTTGAATTTCATCCTTCACATTTGCAAGAAAAGTTGTTAGCCAATGAGATGGTTTCTGTGGCATGACTTCATCTGCACTTGGGGTGGTGGTTGTCTTGAAAGCATAAATTATTTACCTATTAAAAGATCCTTGCTGATGATAGGATGCCTGCTGGTTATCAATATTTTCATAATCCCATTCTTAGCTAAAGTTCCTCCTATGTCCTGTTTTGTCTGTGACTTTCTACCCATTATTGCTCAACAGCAAAGGTTGCTTTTCAGAGGTGCATGAATATATTGGTCAAAGGAAATGGATGTCTGTGTATGTTGTCTTAAGCTTGGATTTGCTGGGTTTCAGTGTGAGCTAACTTGTTTTTGATGCTTAGGCACGCCCATCCAGGAAGCCCATATGTATTTGGCCATGTTGGGGTTGATCGTGACCTTGATTTTCCTGAACCAATGCCTGTTGTTGGTAAGAGAGAAGTTGAATATGTTAATTATATCTTTGTTTGGTTGTGCTATGTCAAGATAACTTTTTTTGAAACACTTTGGTAGTGCTTTTTAGTTTTGGATTGAAGTTCAAAAATAATAATGAATATGGTGGACTAGCTCTTACTTCAGTTAATGATGCTGTAGCTCCTGTTCTTGTTATACTTTTTTCTTTTGAGTGGGTGGTCTGGGTTAAAAACTTAAAATTTCCTGTTAAGTGTACTGTTTTTGGATATCTTTCTTTCTTTGGTTGGCATCTTGGTCAAAATTATTCTTCCCCTTGTTGAATTTTTTCTGCAACCTATTGAGACTAATGATTTACTGAGTATTTGATTTGATTTCTGTTTTCAGGGGTGTCTCGTTCTGCAAAAGGCTATTCTTTAACCTCAGTCTTGGAGACTTTGAAAACATTTTCTGTTGAGGATGGCTTAACTGAAGAAGCCTTAGTCACAAAGCTCCGCACTTGTCACTGCCATTATTTGTTTCTCCACAAATCATTGAAGCACAACTCTTCAGGTGTGCATCTTTGCCTTCAAGTCATGTATTTATATGTGAATATCCTATTCTCATGCCTTGTATTCAGATGCTCCAGTTGTGGTGTTAATATCGCTGATGCTTTGCTATCCTTTTGCTCTAGGTTTTAATTTCTCTAGAACATACTTTGCAGAGTTGATGAACACATCCTTTTTTGTTTGTAATCTTCAATGATACTTTATCAATCCCCAATAGTGCTTACTCTTGACATACACTGTGTATTTGGGTTTGATTTGTCGTCTATGGACCACTTATATTGAAGTAATTGGATAAACATTATTCAAGTCATATTATACGTAGTAGTAAATAGCTATTGATTTTAGAAGCTATTGACAGTTGTTGAATGAATTAATGTCACCAATTTCCCTAATTACAGAATCAGATGCTTCATGCTTCCCTTGAAGAACCAATAATTATTCTTTGTTTTTTGGTTCTTTAGCCCTCTGTAAACAAATCAGGGTTTAAGGGTACATGCACTTTGAGTCACGATCTTGCCAGTTGCAGGATCATACTGGGTGGTGATTTTGGCTTCATTATTATAGGGTATTTTGGATGGAAATTTTTATGAAATTAAATTTTAGTTTTTACAATTGAACAATTCCTTTTCTCACATGAAGATGCTTTGATTCAGGAACTTGTCGCTGGGGAGAATTTGGTGAGGGAGGATTGCTGTGGGCAGAATGCAGCTCTCGATACTTCGAATGGTTTGAAGGTGACCCCGTCAAAGAGCTTTTGCTCAAGGTTGATTGCTTGAAGAAGCTAATGACTGGATATCTTATGCCTATCCTTTTGTTAGTTCTGTATGATGTTTTTCTGTGTTATGTTTAAGCTTAAGTTAACATGCAGGTGAAGGAGCTTTATGGTCTCGAAGATGTTGTTGTATTCAGAAATATAGCCGTTCCTTCTGAAAAAAGGCCCCGTCCTTTACACCTTGGAACTGCCACACAGATTGGTTGGTGCAATTTGTAATATTATTTAGCTCTTGACTTTCTCTCTCTCTCTCTCTCTGTTTTTTTTTTTTTTTTTTTTTTGGTCATGTATATTTTTGATGTCTTCAGGTGCCATACCAACAGAAGGTATACCTTGTTTGCTAAAAGTGTTACTTCCATCAGGTTGCACTGGTTTGCCCCAATCGTAAGTAGTTTATTTTCTTTATGTTGTTGAATCATTGTTCATCTTATGTAATTTGTCGGTATGAAAAATCTGCCTTCTACTTTTTAGAAACATGAACTGGAATGCTTTTTGAAGGTTTAGGGCTTGTATGGATTTGCTTCCTTTTTAATTGCCCTGAATCTTTTCAATATAGTGATAAAGTGAATAATTGATATAGCTTTAGCCTTGTTTTACCAAACGAATCTCTTATCTTATAAATTTAAGCATGCACTGATGGTCATCCAGTTTCTTCACAAGTCTTTTTTTACTGGCCCCAACCAATCCTTACCTTTTGGGATTATAGCTTTATTGGGATTTTGAGTGCTATTATCTCAAAATTGAAAATTTTGTTTCAGGTATGTTAGAGATCTTCTTCTTAATCCTCCTGCTTATGCTGTAGCAGCTACAATTCAAGGTATGTAGATATAGGCTTGAGACCATGAAGTAAGACTTGGGGTAACCAGCTGCCAACATATATTTTTGGCTTTCAAATGGCTGGATTGATTGTTTTTGATTCATTGAAAGAAATATATTGAAACTAACATGTAAACTAATATGTCAGTGCTTGTTATAATAGTCTGATAGAATGCCTGTACACTGCAATGTCATTGAATTGCTAAAACAGACTCTATTAAGTACTTTGCAAGTACCGTAGAGTTTATTATACTAATGCATCAACATCAACACTAACATCAACTTCTATATTATGTCAATGCTTTGAAGACACTCCCACCTATTGCTAGGTTTGAGGGGTTGGATGTATGCCGCCCTACCCCTATTTTATTATAACTGAGAGGTATTTTCCATTTGACTCTTGATCTAAAATTAACAAATGTCAGTAGTTTCAGCACCCAGTATTCTTTTCATTACCCCATCTGAATTAGAAGCAGATACTTTGATTTAAAATATGATTTACACTTATGAAATTATCTAAGACCTTATGGATTCTCTATGATGTAGCTGTCTAATGTACCTCTAAATTATTTGCAGAAATATGCAAACGCATGAGCATTGTGACATGCTCAATACCTGAGTTCACATGTGTATCATCTGCAAAGGTTATCCTCTAGTCTCCTTAATATATGATTTATCCATTTGTACTGATTTAGCATTATCTCTAGGCTTCTGGTCTGGTAAATATCCGAAGTTTCCCTCATTGTTCATCATTTCTGTCTTGACTTTGTATTCATCTGCCTATATGGTTTATCTAGTTAGTCTTGTTAAACTCAAAGATTTTTGTAGATTCCATGTCCATTCTTCTGTCTTAAAGTCAAAACATGTGGTATCCCCCATCCCTGGGAATGCAGTAAGCTAATCAATACATTTACAACTAGGATCTAATTGAAATTGTATATCTTAGTCTTAGGATACATCTTAGTCTCCTACACTCATCCTTGCCTCAAGGAAGAGCCTGTGAGAGGCTATGTGTCTACTTCAGAAGCGATTTGTTTCCACATGTTTAAGTGATCCGCATGGCAATTATAAAAGAGTATAGGATGCAAAACTTCAGCTTTAAAATCAAAACATTCATTTTCAGAATACAGAGCTACTGAGCTACACATTTAATGACTATATGAGTGATGTGCATGTAATGTGTGATGACTCAAAAGTCACTGATGCAGTGCATTGCAAAGTATTTAAAATAATCAAGTGTATGGTGCATATGCTCCTTAAATGCGTATGTACCATCAACACATCTTTATACCCATTTTCTGTGTTTGTTAGACACAAACTAGCTGTGGACCTTTCATAGAATTGCATGCTGCAGGTGCTCTAATAGACTACTGCTTTGTTCTTTTCTAGATGTGAGTGTTTCTCCAAGATATGATATGTAGGGTAAGCGGTAACCAAATAATCTGTAAGCAGTAATGGCTTGCTTAAATTGCAAACCCTCTTTTTTTTTTCTTTACCTGTCTTCTTGATATTGATCTGCTGCATAGAACCTTCTTCCTTTCTGTATATAAACATATGCATGTCTGTATGATTGTATCCGTGCATCAGGCATCTCATCATCTTTTTTTCCTTTCTGAAAGTGCTTGTTTTTCCATCCACTCTTTTGAGCAAGATATTGTTGGATATCTAATTGTGGATTTTTCATCTGCAGCTTGTCAAGTTACTAGAGCTGAGAGAGGCTAATCATATTGAGTTCTGCAGAATAAAGAATGTTGCTGAAGAAATATTGCAGTTGCATGATAAATATGAGCTTCGTGAGGTCCTCGAATTATTGATGGTTCCTACTTCGGTGGCAACTGGATTGAACCTCGAATTTGACACACTAGTGAGTTTGCAAAAGATTATCTTTTTCAAAAGTGACTACTTATATTATATGCTCTTTTATGTTTTTGCAATTAAAATTAGGAGCTGACTAAGAAAATGATACAATGGATTGGAATTTATACTACTTGAAGACAGAAGGAAGCTGCCTCTTTAATGGACTAGTCCTAATTGTGGGGCATAGTGTCTGAACTGTTAATCTGAAAATGTAGATGTTACGGATCTAGCTTTTTGATGTTACAGGCATAAATGCATAATTAGTTGCACTGGTAGGGACTGATGTGAAGCTGAATGAAAAGATATTTAGTCAAATAGGCAACCTTTAAGTTGATATCAAAATGAAGTGAATTGATGAATTGTCTTTTGAAAACAGATCTTTATTTTTATTTTGGGTGAGGGGGATGTAGTATGTCAACCATGGAACTGGCACTCCGAATTTTTGCTATGCTAGCTAATAACTTTTATGGAATTTGTATTTCATCATGAGTGTTGGTTTTGTTGGCTAACAGTTTTTTTTTTTTTTTTTTTTTTTTTTTTTAATATGTTAAATTTTCTTCCAGGTTAATGATTGTGAATGGGTGTCACGTAGAATTGGTGAGCTTATTTCACTAGATGGTGAACTTGAGCAACAATTAAGTTCTTTCCCGCATATTCCAAGTGATTTTTTTGAAGACATTGAATCTTCTTGGAAAGGGCGTGTGAAAAGAAAGCATATGGAAGATTTTTATGAAAAAGTTGATGAAGCAGCCAAGGTCCTTGATATGGCGGTAGGTGCATATATCTCCTGGATTTTGATTGTGCTCTTCCATAGCTGTCTTTGTTTCACAATACTTCATTTGTTGGATTCCAAATTCTGCAATGAAGTCTGGATGGTGTACGGAGACAGAATCACAAAATATTGACCGTTCTGATAAATGATACTCTAATGGTACATTATTCAGGCTTGTTACCAATTCCTGCTATTGTGCTCTTTCATAACTACTCTGTATGGATTTTATGTTTAGTTAGACTAAATTTTACAATGCTCTCAGGAGCATGATGCTCATCATGATCACAATAGAACATGCAGTTTAAAATTTTTAGAAAATAGAGAAATTTGTTTGCATGGTTAATTTTTTTTTTTTTCATTCTAAAATATATGTACATATTCTTCTCAACACAATTACATATTATGCACATAAACAAATTGATATTGTTGCTGTTGAAAAAATACGCAATAGCAATTTAGTAAAAGTGAATTTGACACGCTGCAATGTTATTCTGGTTGCAGCTGCATGTTCTTTATACGCACTTCCTTTGCATCATACATTCATTCTCTTTCTATCATACGGGGATCATGATGTAATTTGAGCAAAGTCATGTTTAAATTTATGTGTCAAGACGTGATTTCTCCGAGAAAAAAAGTATATGAAACCATCAACCAAGCTCCTTGCATGAGGATTCTACTTTTGACAGTGGGTTAAATCTTAATTGTTTGTATCCTTGCTCCTGTGACCAAAGAATTGAATAGCACTCCAGTTTGCCTTGGATTGGAGTATACAAACACATTTAGGATTGTTAGTGGGGATGCTTATTGTAGCTGTCATATTTTAGAGCTCTATCCTGCTAATTTGGGTTAAATGCATCTATTCATCACTCCACATGACTCAATTGCTGTTGTCTTTTTTGTATTTGTTACAGTTTCTAAACGGAATTTACAGACTTACAGCATAAGATACCTTCCAATGACCATTTGTGCCTTTTCATAATTTAGGTATCGGAGGATTTTCTACCCATTATTTCAAGGATAAGAGCTTCTATAGCGCCACTTGGGGAGCCAAAGGGTGAAATTCTTTATGCTCGAGAACATGAGGCTGTTTGGTTTAAAGGAAAGCGGTTTGTACCATCAGTATGGTCTGGGACCCCAGGGGAGCAACAAATTAAACAGCTGAAACATGCATTAGATTCGAAAGGGAAGAAAGTCAGTGAAGAATGGTTTACCACGACAAAGGTGGAGGATGCATTGATGAGGTTTGCTTCTGATTTGTAACTAGAATTGAATAATGATGTTTTTTTTTTTTAAATCATGGAATAATGATTTAACATTGAAAAATGCTTAAGAAATAAGTTTTGGGTTTCAGGTACCATGAAGCTAATGAAAAGGCTAGAGCCAAAGTTCTTGAACTGCTGAGGGGTCTGTCTGCTGAGTTGCAACATAAAATTAATGTTCTTGTCTATGCATCCATGATGCTTGTTATTGCAAAGGCTCTATTTTCACATGTCAGGTTAGTGTTGCAGAGTTGCACATTCTAGACTCTTATTATCTGTCAGTACTCTTGCTATCTTTCAAAGCAGTTTAAATTTTCCTTAATAGTTGACTTAGGATGGTATTCCTTGGTTGATGTAATTAATGGCTTTATCAAGTCTTTTTGCTAGGGAATCTTTATTGCTAAGGTGTATGACTCTTATATATGTGTCTCAGGACATTTGGCAAAAGTGATAATATGAGCACTGTTTATGCCAGGCAGAGAGATTAAGCTTCATATTTAATAAAATTTAAACCTTCTGGCATTTAACATCTACTAGTTGTTGCCCGTCCAAAAAAAACATCTAGTCGTTTTAACCAGCCAGTTGCAATGTCTTCACAGTTGATCCTTGATACATGTGTAACTGAGTTTCTTTTTATTTTTATCTTAGCAAAATTTCTAATATTAGGACTACGTTTTTGCCATCTGAGAGCTGGAAAATTTGGACACCAGATCAAGTAATGCAACTAATACATGCCAATCATTATTTGTATTTGCAGTGAAGGAAGGAGAAGGAAATGGGTCTTTCCTACGCTGGTGGAATTTAGCAGCTCACAGGTAGTATTCCTGATTCGGACGACCCCTCCCCCCCCCCCCCCCCTCCCCTAAAAAAACAAAGAAGAATCCCTCCTTCCTTCTCCTACCCTTTCCTGAAGTACTGATCCTTCCTCTTGCCAACTGGGTCTTTGATGTATCCATGTCTGTATACAGAATGGAAAGCTGGATGGTGAATCCTTAAGCATGGAGATGACTGGTCTATCCCCGTACTGGTTTGATATAGCTCAAGGCAATGCAGTGTGCAATACTGTCAACATGAAATCATTATTCCTTCTAACAGGACCAAACGGAGGTGGTAAATCAAGTTTATTGAGATCAGTCTGTGCAGCCGCTTTACTTGGAATATGTGGGTTTATGGTTCCTGCAGAGTCTGCTTCAATCCCACATTTTGATGCTGTTATTCTTCACATGAAATCCTATGATAGCCCTGTTGATGGGAAAAGCTCTTTTCAGGTATGTCACCTGGGATATCTATAAAATAGAAGATTTTAAAGAATAAATACCTAGTGGCTAGTCTGCAATTACATTCAGTTGTTTATGCCTGGACTGCAATCAAATTTCTGATTTAAATGAAATTTTTGAATACAAAAAATTCAGATAGAAATGTCAGAGATGCGTTCACTACTATCTGCAACAACTTCAAGAAGTCTTGTTCTCATAGATGAAATCTGTCGAGGAACAGAAACAGCAAAAGGAACTTGTATTGCAGGTAGTATTGTTGAAACTCTGGATGCAATTGGTTGTTTGGGCATCGTATCAACTCACTTGCATGGAATCTTTGATTTGCCACTGAGAAGAAGCAAATCTGTTAACAAAGCAATGAGTGCAGAATTTGTTGATGGTCAAACAATACCAACTTGGAAGTTAGTAGATGGAATCTGTAAAGAGAGCCTCGCATTTGAAACTGCCCAAAGAGAAGGGGTACCTGAAACACTAGTCAAACGAGCTGAAGAATTATATCTCTCTGTATATGCAAATGAGATGCCTTTGAAATATGACAAATCTGATTGTTTTGGCTCTACTGCTATTGTGAATAACTCTAATGAAGCTCACTGCGACATGAGTACTTCCTTAACCAACCTAAACTTGGCTACCCAAGTGGAAACTCTAAAAAGAGAAGTCTATAATGCTGTTACTGCCATATGCAAGAAGAAGTTGGCTGAGCTTCATAAAATGGCAGACTCGTCTCAAATTCCAGAGATTAATTGCATTTTTATTGCTGCTAAGGAGCAGCCACCTCCATCAACAATAGGTGCTTCAAGTGTTTATATCATGTTGCGCCCGGATAAGAAATTATATGTTGGAGAGGTAAATTTATGCATTATATTATACAAAAATATTTGGAAAAAATAAATAGGCAATTAAAGGAGCACTTTTTTTGGCTGAAATTCTAATACTTGCCATTTAGGCAAAAACTTTACCAAGATATCATCCATTCCTAGCTTCATCATGCTGAAATCTTACATATATGTACTTCTGTAGATACTAGTATGTAAAAAAATCAACAAACCCTAATTTTTATTGAATTTCATGGTGCTGCAGACTGATGATCTCCAAGGTCGAGTCCAAGCACATCGATTAAAGGATGGCATGCAGAATGCTGCATTCCTTTCATTCGTAGTCCAAGGAAAGAGTGTAGCTTGCCAGCTTGAGACCCTTCTGATCAATCAGCTTCCGAAACGAGGTTTCTTCCTCACTAATATTGCTGATGGCAAACACCGAAACTTTGGTACATGTGATTCCATCTTAGAACCAGTTACTGTGTGTAAATGAATGTGCAGTTATCTCATTCAAAATTTTGGTTGGATTCTAGGGATCAAGGGGGTGTATATTGTATTGGCCCTTATGAAATGTATTTTGTATGGAAGGAGTAGGACTGTAGGACTGTAGGAGATGTATATTGTTCATAATTAACTGGCTAGTGGAAGCAACAATTTTGTTCATAATGCCGAGTTGCCCTAGCAGTGCACTTCCTTACTTGAGTTGAAGCATTTATCTAGCAATGTTCCACTTCCATTTTGTCTGATTTGATTTCCTTTCGAAACTTCTAAAATATTTTTTTGAGGGTTTATTCTTACACAAGTATTAGGGACTCAGGGTATTGTACTTTGTGCAGTGGTCCTCTCTTGGTACTGAAAGAGTTCATCCGGTCACTTCCAATATTCCCAACCACTGCAAAGACCAAGCTAAAATTCTGTCCTCGACCAAGCCGCAAGGCATCATCCGATGCCAAAAGGCTAGGGTGTCTTACAAATTCCTAGCTAAACCCAGAAGTAGCATTCGTTTAGGATCAGACAACACAGGTACTTGTTATCACGCAATGTGTTAAAATCGGGTGAATTACTTCAGAGGCGGTGTGGTGATTGGCCATTTTTCTTTAAAAATAATTTATGGAAATAATGTTTTAAAAAATATTCCTGTGAATGGAGTTTATACCACAATTTTTTATTTGCGCAATCTAAATTTTTATTGCACTTTTTCTTTTTTATGACTAATTTATAACAAGGTTAGTGAATGGTGGTTAGAGCTTCCTTCCCGATTCCAGGAAATTTCGGGATCGTTTTTCATCACCCGCCCTTGTGGCTCTCTAAACACCAAAAACAATAACAAGGTTGCACTTAAACAATAGCACCTGATGACATAATACTCCATTCTTTAGTCATCACGAGCAAATTGCAGCCCTATTAATATAGACCCAATGCCCCTATTATTATATCCGCTATTAGTTGCCTTAAAGTTAGACAGTTAACAAGGCTCGGTTCAAGATAAATACGCAAACTTTGAGCAAATTTGAATTTTCACAACAGAAGAATTGGTTACGATGAATGCCACCTTTAGCTACAGCTTTGAGTTGACAGAACTATTCTAAATATAGATCAGCATTACAGTACAAAACTGTTATTCCCAAATTGGAAACAACCTACCACATATCATAGCATGCTATGCAAAATTGTGCTTGGTTTCTCGGTCATCCTCCACATAAATGAATTGTCAGGATTCTATGCTCCCAGTACTTGGAGGGAGCTACTATTGAATATCGGCCATTGGGCTTTCATGCGACAATGCAGACTCAAACAGCAGCAGGAATTGAAGAGTCTACCGACTTCATCACCTGTTCACCCATCTCTTTGCATCCAACTAATTTCTGTAAGCAGTAGTCAATTACATATTAGTCATTAACTAAAGAAAGATTTACAAGAGAAGAAAAAATGTAATGATCCCAATAGTAAGTAATTAGTCATACATTATATTCAAATTTAGAAACTAATGTCACAAGATTTGTACATTGTAAAATGAATGCTTTCGCAAACCAGAAGCAAATGGACTTATGTACACGACCTGATGATGTGTACCAATTTTTTAAACTAGCATTACCAATTTCATTATATAGTGTACATTGAAAAAGTTCAATTCAACTGCACCTTTTGTTTTATTTGAAGGAAGGAGAAAATAGAAAAGTGTAGTGTGTGAACTTGTGGGAAACCCGGCCGCTACACTACAATCCTCCCCCCCCCCCCCCCAAAAGGCAACCAAAGAAAAAAAAAATTATATAAAATATAAAACTTACCAAGTACAATTCTATATACAACAATAATGTAAACATGCAGAATGTGGAATTTATATAACAATTCATTAAGTAAACATACATTTCCAGCTGAGTATATGTCACCAGTTCGGAATCCCCTATTTAGGGTCTCCATAACAGCTGCCTCAATCCTGTCTGCGGCCTTGCTTTCCCCAAGACCATACCGCAAAAGCATTGCAGCACTTAAGATCGTTGCCAATGGATTTGCCTTGTCCTTGATTTTTCAACAAGTCAAAATCAGTTTCCATTCTATATTTAAGCTAAATTAAGATTCAATAAGTCAAAAGTCCAACCTGTCCGGCAATGTCAGGAGCAGAGCCATGTATAGGTTCAAAAAGTCCAGGTCCCTATATAAATCACAAAACTAAGTCCTTAGTCATATAAAATAAATCCTAACTATTAAAACACCAATTATTGGGAGAAAAAAAAAGCAAAAAAATAGCAATTATTGACACCAAATTAGACTCCCATACCGATTGACCTATGCTTGCAGAAGGAAGCATTCCAATACTCCCACTAATCATTGAAGCCTCGTCAGATAATATATCACCAAATATGTTGTTGGTTAAAATAGTGTCAAACTGCACAAATAAATCAATCGACACTGTCAGTAATGGAGAAAAGAAAAGAGAGGAAAGAAAATAAGACTGTTAAATGCTTAGTGACTTTGGGTTGGTAAGGGTGAATAGATGAATAAAATACCTGTTTTGGATCACGAATAAGTTGCATTGCTGCATTATCAATATACATATGTGAAAGCTCGACATCAGGGTAGTCCACTGCCATATCCGTAACTCTTTTCCTCCAAAGCATAGATGCCTGACTAAATTGTATAGAAATGAGACTTAACAATAGATATGGTATAATAATTAGAAATTAACCTTATGAAAAACTTCACCGCAACATATAATCCGAAATATGTGCTTTGTAGGACTTAATGCAACCGAATCATGCACCAATATCTCTAAAAGTATTAAATTAGAAAGTAACAGTCTTTGTGCCTTTATGCCTAAATATATATATTTTTTAAAAAAAAAATTATTTACACCAAGCCTTTGTGGTTGCAATTGAATATTAGTAGAACAACTTGTTTACGGGAGTACGGGACTGGTAATTATTATACACTAGCTTGTCTGAGAATTACAGCAAAATCTGCATAAGGTCCATCAAGATGCAATGCTGACAAGATAGTGTCAAAACACAATAAGGCATCCCACAAATATTATATAGAAAATAAGTAAACAGCCCTTTCAAATTCTGCACAAAGAAAAGGTGCCTGATAGTAGTTATAACTCAGAACTTTCTAGCCATATTCATTCTATTCATTGGGTTTTAGAGCGCTTTATACCATACTGTCACTTGCCAGTATAGCTAATCCACATAATATGCACACAACAAAGAAAAATAAAAATAAAGTCACCCAAAAGACTAAAAAAATTCTTATTAGTCACCAGCACCACAAACCTCTAGAACATTGGCTTTATCAACAGAGCACAGTTTCCCACGCCTCTTTCTAGCAGTCTCAAAAGCAACACGAGCAATACGGTCAATCTGCCAAAAGAAAATTTTGATAAACAGTTTAATGGATGTGAGATCATGAATTACAGATATAAATGCAACATCATTGAAGAAGGGATCAGAGTACAAAAAGTCGCTATTCCCAACTCCAATAACATGTTCACATCAAGCAAATCTATTTCATCTAACTTATATTGAATTATATACACATTAACTATTAATTAAAAACATGACAGAAACAAAGACAGTTTAATCCAGTAAACAAGAACAAAATTGAAAAGGTAAGTTCAATTCATAGGTTTAATAATTACTACAATCTGATTTTTCTCAATCCACTGGCTGCCGCCTATGGACAAAACATGAACACATAACCCGAGACATAAACCATTTGCTATCACTGAATTAAGCAAATAGAGCCTGATTCCTAAATGAGAAGGATGGAGGTCAAACTACACTGCAAAAACAGTGTTCCCTAGCTAAATGGACATTTTACTCAGCTCTGCATAAGGGAAAAGGAAACAACCCTGGTCTGCTATCATGGAGAAAGGAAATATGATGAAGATATTGAAGAAATAATAAACAAGGTGTTAGCAGTCAAAGTCTCTCCTTTAGTAGATTAGTAGACCTGTATTCCTAACAGTTTTCACTCAAACACACCTCAGCCCAAAGACAGGCCACCCCCCCACTAAACCTTATTTACTAGAAGGAAGAGCCACTGCAAATGAATGTCACTATCTCGTATACGTTGTTTTGGTCTTATAAATTTCACTTCATAATCTAGATGGAATCCTTTACCTTGTACTATATCTGACCAATTCTTCTATCTAAAAGGATTCAGAGTTCCTATTTCCCATTCCACCCAATTGTCTCTCCACTCTATGCCAAAGAATTTTTACAAAGAATCTGTGTGATAAGTCCATTTTGTTTTTGTGGGACAATTTTAAACATCAAAGACTACTTCTACAAAAGATAAAATTACCTTAAAGTTTACATAAAATCTGACTAGTAAAACATACCTGAGAAACAGAGTAGACCTCAGTATTGAAACCAATCTCCTCTCCCTTTTCATTCACACCAAAACCCCTAGGCTCCCCAAAATAAATACCTGAATTTAAAAACAGAAGTTTCAGAGAAGAAAAAATAATTACATCCACTAATGAAGTTATTTAGAAGCGCTTTCAGAATGAGTTCAACAATATAGGACTTTTACCGGCAGTAAGCTCCCTCACCACCATTAGATCAACACCTTCGGCTACCTCTCTCTTCAATGTGGTACAATCGATCAACTGGAAATCCAAAGCACCCATACATTAGGAACTTCAAAAATATTAGTAAAATTAAATAGCATCAAAAGTATTCTAGGAATTTGACCAGATATAAATAATGGTGTAGCCTCATCCTTTAGGAGCAAGATTTAATCTTACCCATAAAATAGCATTAGCCATAGAGTGCCTAATTCCGGAGCAAATAATTTTAATTTACACACAGCTACTACTTACCAGGCACACTTACAGAAAGCACTTAAATAACTTTTTCCCTCAAGAATTCACGAAGTGGTTTTTCTACATTAACTAAGGACAAACTTTAATGATTCTGTAATGGACTGACTTAGTATTTTCTGATTTAAAGACTAATTAAGAGATAAAAGCTTGATACTTTGGTTAATAATGGCAGAAATTGGATACAAAAGGATAGATTAATAGCTTAAGGCTATTACTCTCTTGACAAATTAAAGTTATCACTCTCCTAGTAACTTCAGGTTACTACTCTCAACATTTTTCCTCACAATTCACATGCTGTCCTACTGCATATACTATCCCCTATATATACTAAGGCCAAGTACTACTAACCTAAAAGTATTAGACTTCCCAAATCGCCCTTCCTAATGTTAGTTTATTACAGATTTTTGTACTACACTGGCCATAATTAAGACAAATCTGACTCGAGATAATGTAGGATGAAACAGTTCATAATATAACCTTTACATTCCTAAACTCGACAAACTATAGGTCACTTGCGTCACGCCGTCACATTATAAATTCTCATTGCTTTATATAGAAGTACATTAGAAGGTTTTTTTACCCTCGGGGTTCATAAGATATATATGTCTTATTTCAGCAAGGGATACAAAAATTCAGGGGTTAATGTTTCCCACCTCAACAGTAACCACTGCAGTATCTAGAACATTGCTCCTCAAAGTTGTAGTCTTTATTTACCAAAGTTATACTTGCCATAGAAAACAATGAAAGTTCATGCCTTGAGAGAAAAAAAGAGGGGAGTTGGGAAAGCCCATGAGCTTGATGTATGCAAGAAGTTTCAGTATAAATCAACAGAACAGTATTTTAAGAAGAAAAAAAAGTAACATAAATAAAATAAAACACCGAATATAAGCAAAAGAAACAGAAGAGCAACCTGAGGCAAGACAGTAGCTGGCCTTAAATTTGCAAACACGTCAAGACCTGCTCGAAGCTGAAGCAAGCCGGTCTCTGGCTTCAACTTCTTTTCAAGTTTGTCCCATTTATACCTGATTTCCGACAGGGCCAAGTAACCCATCCTTATTTTCACATATTACAAGGGAGGGAAGCCAGAAAGAAAAAAAAATAAAAAAAATTAAAACAAGTGAGAATGAATTTTACCCTCCAATAGCTCCAAGAAGAACAGCATCAGATTGTTTTGCTGCTGCAAGGGTCTCCTCTGGCAATGGAACTCCAGTGAGATCAAAAGCAGAGCCACCAACAGGCATCTCTTGGTACTTGAGCTCAATCCCTAAAATTGAAGAATACCAATGAACAAATTAAAGATTGACAGAAAAATACAATATGACCAAGTGAGAAAAAAAAAAAACATTTCTGACAAGCATAATTTCAATTCTTTAATTTTTGACAAGTAAAAGCATAAGGCAGATATAGAAGTTAATCAAAAACATATAATAAGTTATCTAGTGTATAGATCGCGGGAGGTCCATCTGTACAGATGGAGTAGCCTTTTTAGAGAGGTACAGTTAAATCATTCATTATGTTAATCACAATTCACACACTGCAGAAATCTTGATGCTTTATAGTTTCACTCAACAACGTGCAAGTAGCAAACAGTAGTAGTATGATTTCACACGAAAACCTGATATTTTACAGAATGTCCTCAAAACCTTTATGAGCACACAAACATTTAAAAAATCGGATGTAAAATAATATATTGTACATCTGCTACAAAGTTACCTTGAATGAAAAATTACCCTTTAATGAATGAAAGTTACCTGGTTATCCTGATACAAATAAAAGTTATTTATGCTTTATTGATAAAAGTTACCCAAAAAAGTGTTAACTTTGACTAATCCAGATGAAGACAAGCTCAATCTGTCACCTTTAATCTTACATCAACACTTATATATAATTGCATGAGGGAAGCAACCTAAAACAGCAAACCCTTAAATACATAGAAACAAAGATAGCGATCCCTTCCACTGTTCCACCTAAGATTTGTTTGTGATCTTATCCAAAGAATATGTAGACCAACATTAGGAAGGGCATTTTGGAGTCTAATACTTTTAGGTTAGTAGTCCTTGACTCCTTGGCCTTAGTATAAATAGGGGATAGTATATGCACTAGGATATCATGTGAATTGTGAGGAGAAATGTTGAGACTTGAGAGTAGTAACCTCAAGTTACTAGGAGAGTGATAACCTAAAGTTATCAAGAGAGTAATAGCCTTAAGCTATTAATTTATCCTTCTGTGTCCAAATTCCGGCCATTATTAATCTAAATTCCAAGCTTTCATATTATTATCCATATAATATAAAAACCTGAATTTCAGTCTATTACAGAATACTACACCCTTCTACATCTCTAGCAGCTACGCATTCACCATAAACTTATCTTCTTTGGGCCTCTCCCTAGAAGTAACGGTGATGTCATCCTAAAGTGCTGCTAAACATAGATAGGACTTTACAAACATCCATGAACGACTATCATAGAACCAATGGTCATAGACCATACTAGAAAGATTGGATACTTTTAGAGCATACTAGAAAGATTGGATACTTTTATATAGCTTTGTACATGACATCTCAAACACAACTACTGTTAATAAAAAGAAATATCACTTCTTTGGTTAGTACAAATGTTATCTATATCAACAATCCATATCAACAAGAAGGAAGCCTTAAAAGTATAATGTCTAGAAAGGACAAGTGATCATTCATTATTGATAAATCGGGAATTTTTGTCAAGTGGGATTATGTAAAGTAATGAAGTTGTCCTAAAGTATGTACACTTGCACATAAATCACAAGTGTGCTCAATTTTTTATCAAACAAACAACAAGGTATGCATGGGAAATCTAGAAACCCTCTTATCAATTCCTAAAACCTATCATTCTATCTCCCTAAACTTAACTTTTTCTAAAAACAAAATCATACACATATCAGTCATTCTTCTCCTACTAGAGTTCATAAAGTGAGAAGAAAATGATACACTACTATTGAAGGGAATGAATATCTCCTTTCTCATTTCCTCTGACTTGTTCTCTAGGTCATTTTTCCCTCTCTACACTACACACCAATCTAACTAATTATGAGTATATTATGCCTTTGTGTCCTACATGGCTACATATAACATTATAAACATTATACTGTAGAACACCAGCCAAAGAAAGCTCTCAATATCAAGATTAAAAATTTACACAACAATCATATTCGTCAAACCTTTATCAACCCAAAATCCATTAAATATAACCTTCATTCAAGCAATGACCAGTCCCAAAATTCCTATACCCTAACCCTTACTAGCCCCTACAAAATTCTCCTTTTCCTTAACAACCCCAGCTTATTATCCGCTCAATAATGAAGAGTACAACCACAATGCCGCAATCCGAAACAGAATTCTCAGCAATGAAGAATACATTAATAAAACCCCCACCCATTCACCCACCAAACACACATAATCAAGTGGGACAATCCCAACTTCAATGACAAAAAATTCACCCAACACACATTTCCAACTACATCAATGTATCCTACATTCCAACCATAATCAATAACCATTATAAGGGTTTCCAAAATCACAAAGTAGTACAGTATAATAACTAAAACCCAATTCAATACAAGATAACAATAATCAAAAATTTAATTCAAAAGTAACAATAATCAAACAATAACAATGTTAAAACCTTCAAGAGAAGCGGCAAATTGAAGAACATCTTTAGAAATTGAGACAATTTCAGGGCCAATGCCATCACCAGGAAGAAGAGTGATGTTGTAGCTTCTTTTGGTGGGTGTTGCAGCAGCAGAACAACGCACGGTTGGGAATTTTGTGGGGTTAACTGTAGCAAAGGTTTTAGCTTTATGAAAATGAATTTGGGGTTTCAATGACGCCGCCAAATGAAGCTGTAGGTGGGTTGCTGCCATTGTTGGGGAGTCAAAGAGGAGAGAGAAAACTGGGTTAAGGGTATGAATGGGATTATGGGTAGTGAGAATGTGAGATGTGCTCACTTTTGTTTAAACTCTAAATTGGGTACCACTTCTTGTTTAAGGTTATGCACATGAACTAATTTTCTTTATCAAGGGGCACAATTGCACAAACAATGAACAATACCAAAGTAACCAAATTATGAAAGTATGAAACTACCAAAGTACCTTCTTGATTAGATTCTGCGTAAGTGTAACACATAACTTCGAATACAGTATTAGTTTATTGTCCTAAGGGGCCGTTTGGTTGGGGGTATTCAGGAAAGGGAATTTGTTGATGTTTGTTTAGCACTTTCTTTCATTCCCTTTACCCCCTCCATTCCCCGAATTCCTTCTAAGTCCATTCCCCACCCCCCTAGGTATTTCCATTCCATTCTCTAGCCACCCCAACACCACCACATCACCACCTTTACACCTACCAACACCACCGGAAACCAGCCCACCTACATACCTGACCACCGCCGACCATCGCTGCCCCACCCCCGATCCTCGCCGCCCTCCCCTCCCCCGCAAAAACAACCACAACCCCCGCGAAATAACCACCACCACCCACCCAGCCCTCCCTATCACCGTTAAACCGCCGCCTAGCCCTCCCAAAGCCCCGCCCTGCCCCTTCCCGTCGCTGCCCTTCCCCTCTCCCCGCAAATCTGCCCCTCCCCGCCCCTCGCAAATGAATTTATTTGAATTTGAAATGATTTGCAGTTTGTTTGATATTTGAAAGTTGATTTAGGATGTTTAGTGTACGAAAACATTTTAGATCTGAGGTATTTGGTTGTATTAATATGTTGTGTTCTGATGATTGAAGTTTTGATTGAGTTTGTCTAGATCTAATTATGTTGGCATAGAGTTGAGTATTTCTGGGCAGCGACGGGAATACTGGGATCCATTCGTGGCTAGGCTTCATTCGTGGCTGAGGGAGGATTTGCGAGGGGCGGGGACGGCCGGCGAAGGGAGGCGCACGGTGAGGGAGCAGCGGCGAGGGGTTTGGTGGCTGGGTGGTGGCTGGAAACGGTGGAGAGTGAAAGTGTAGGTGGCTGTGTGGTGGTGGTGTGGTGGTGGGGCTCATTCTCTTTGTTATAAAACAAACAGCATACACAATTTTAGGTAATTTCATTCCATTCCTTGTCTTTCCCTTTGTTCATTCCATTCCGATTACCCTGTGCGAACCAAACGGCCCCTAAGTACTTTCTCTGTTTCAGAATAATTGACATATTTGACTTTTTTACAAATTTGACTTTTTTTTATATAATATACTTTGTATAAATTAACATTTTAATAAAAACTTGATATTTAATGAAACCAATCCAACTATGTAATTATACAAAGTACCTCGTATAATATTAGCTTTTGATATATTTTCTATGAAAAAAAGTAGTAAAATTTTATAAATCAGGCAAAAAATCAAAATGTTAAATGAATTATGAAATAAATGTGGTATGTCAAGTAGCTATAGAAAGTGTATTACTTTTTTTTAGTTGTTTTGTCACACAATATGTAGTAATTGTTATATGTATATGTTGTTTTAATAAGATTGTTGTCTTTATTAATCTTGTAAAAAAAGTTACTTTAATAACAATGATCATTCGTGTAGCATTTGATTCATTAAAATTAAAACATTAAAAATTTAAAGGAAGAGATTAAAGTTATTGTTGTTGGGTTGTTTTTTAATTGTAATTTAAGAAGCGTTTGATGAGATGATCGGATTTGTGTTGAGTGTCAACCAAAAATGCGTACAGTGTTACAATCAACTCTTGAAACATGAAAGCAAAAGATGACTAAATTGGTTAGCAACCTATTCAAAATGATAAAATCAACCGTTCATATATACCTGTCACATCTCAAAATTTGCATTCAATTCTAAAATTAATTAGTTTTAGATGATATTAAAGTCTTTGACTAGTTAGCAATATTTTAGGGTACACATGTACTACTAAGTATAGCCAATACAAATATACTAAATCAAACAATCATCCCCTAATTAAAAGCGATAAAACGTTTGTTTTAAGAAGTCTTTAATGCTCCTATAAACTAAAATTATAGATGTACAAAATCTTAAATTCAAGCAAAATCTTTATGATATGTAGAAATTCATGACATCAAACATCAAATCTTGTCTGATTTAATCTTCAAATTAAAAGATAAACAAGAACTTCGGCCACTAGACCTACCTTGCCCTTAATTATTCTCATAATCTTATAATGAATATCCATGTATGATTTAGGTGGATAACTATTGGATAAGGTCAACACCTTCGTTGTGCACCATTACTAATAGTCCAATCAAAATTTAATTTTGGAATAGGCAAGGTGTAACTTGGTCATTCTCCTCCTATGTAATAAGCATGCCTAGAGAATAGGAGATAATATTGCAAATGGAAAAACATGTTAGCATGGCTACCAAAACCTCAAACTCCACCACCAAAAGAACATGCCTTTGCTCTCCTACCACCCATCAAGGCTCTTTCCGGTGCAGCTTCCACCGCGGCCGACGAAAGTTTCCGATGAGATCTCCACCAGCAAAGCCCAAATTCAGGAAAATTGAGCCCAACAGTGCCATAAAGACCAACCTGTTGAAGGCCTTATTGTTACAGATTATCAACCCATCAAGACATGACCTCCAAAGGCGTTGGCGCTTTAAGCACAAGCCCACCAGGTTTAGCCTATCTTAGAATAACAATACACTTTTGGTTAGGTGATTGTTTTTTTACACAAAAATTATAAATGTTCCTCTATTTTATTTTTGTTATCTTTGTTAAATTTTGAGGAGTTCAAAGATATATTGTAAGACTCCTATAAGAGTATTGATTTTGTTTTTTTGTATTTTTATTGGTATACATTACAATTTACAAACACAACTGAATTTTTATGGAATATCTTTGTTTGTTTCTTATTGCTTGAGAACTCTACAACTTTATCTAATCGAAATGAATGAGACACCTTTGTGGCTTTGTGCCAATTTATTTTTTTTTTTTTTTTTTTTTGGACAATTAAATAATAAGTTATATTTGACAATTGGTAATGTCGTAGAGAAAGATATTGATATTGATTAATAAGTTGTGTTCGTAACAATAGGTGATGATTTAATATGATTTCAAGGGTAATTTTTCAGAATATTAACTATTAATTTATTATATTTCCTTGACCCTTGCATCTCTAATTTAGATTTTTTTTTTTTTTTTTTTTTTGGCAAACGAGGGGCAAAGCCCCGGAATCTCTAATTTAGATAGTGTTCATTATTCCACTTTTATATGACTTAATCATAAACAATAATGGATACTATATACTTTTTTTTTTGGTGCATTTAAATTGTAAAATAATTGGAAAAACCTTTTTGACGAAGAAGTTGACTATGTTTGAGGTTTTTTTTTTTTCTTTAAAAAAGGTTTAGCGTGATGTTTTGTACTCTAGTGCTTGTTTAATAAAAATATAAAACATGTAATTGTCATTCGTGAAAAGAGTAATATATTGTTAGACGAATGCAATGATACAATTAGTTACAAAAAGAGACTACTACTATCAACTAATTTCAATATCAGTAATTGTCAAGTATGGTTATAGTCCATAAGAGCAAATCCAATGTAGTTAGGGATTTGCTTGCAATTTTTCAACGGTATCTAGCTACTAGCTTGACAGAGCTAACAAGTACAATTAGCTTATTGGCCAAAAAAGTTTTCATAATTTTTGGAGGTTAATATATTAAACTCATTAAATTAATAAAGCTAATTGAGAAAGTCAAGTTTATTTAATTAGCAAGCTAGTAGCTAGCCATTGGGGCACAAAATAATTACAAAGAGGTTTAACTTGAAACCATATGTGGCATGACAAGACAAGACAAGCTAATTTAACAATTAATTTGCTATTAGAGATGCTCTAATGTGCATTTTGAATTTTATGGAGTAGCTAGGTAATTAACGGTTAATAATTGTATTTTGTGAAAATATCAAAACGCTTGACAATACTCTCAAATTAGAATTTTCAACAACAAAGTACCTTATTTTTGACAAAAAAAAAGTTAACAAATTGAATTGTATTATATGATCTACCAAAAGTATTCGAATTTAACAAATAGAATCAAACAAAAGTGTCTTCATTTAAACTACAATTGTTGAATAGTTATCCTCTTCTTGCAATTAGAGATCCACAAATTGGAAGAAGTAGTATTTAGAAGCAAATGAAGCAACAAACATGCATCATCTATCATTGTTGAATGAGAATAAGTGGTCATTGTTGTGATCTTGTCACTCTTTTTTCAACAGCAATTATAAGAAATAACAAAAGTGCACAATTTTCTTATTTTTTTATTTTCATTGTTGGTTGAATTATCATCCTCTTTCACTAAAGTATGAAGACGATCTACTAACTACTTAGTTGTCACCTCCTACTAGGTTGGTGCAGTGGTAATTTAATTAAGCTTACTTTTTTTTTTTAACCTAATTAAGCTTACTTATTTCATGTCTTATAATCGATAAACTCAAACTTAGTTAGATTCTTGACTTATTCATACAAAGTTAAAGATTACAGCATAACAAATCACAATAATTGTGATACATCATCTGATCCTCAATATCACAGTACACTCTATTCGTCTCATACAAGATCAGATTATACATTGTAGCTAAATAAAGATGCGTTAGGATGCAAAAGAGTATTATAAGCTTTGGTGTACGTATAAAAAATAGATAATTTAAAGAGTTAGCTGACAAGCATGTAATGTAACCAACTAGCTTGGTTACTACGACTAGTTATATTAATCAGCTAATTACGTATCAAACGTATTCAAAATAGACATAATAAAACACGCACTACGACTTATCTTATATTAGAAGGTTGAAGAATGTAAGTAATCACAATCTATGGTCCATCTCATACATGATCCACTATTAATCTTATTGATGACAAATAGCATATCATATTTGTCAACACATAATCCAATGTCAAAGCCATACCTTAAGTAACAAGTACTAATTTATAAATCCATAATTAAGAAATTTAGTTGACACTTGCTTAATGAAGTTATATTAACTCTAGACGGAAGTAATATCAAAGTGATGTAGTGAATTTGGTACACCACTTTTGACTAATCGTACTTTATAATTTAATATAACTTGTTATCTTATAGTCTTCTAAAGGATATGATAAGCTTTCGTGAACCTTGTAGATTTATATACAAATAGTACTAATAATGTGTACTGTGTCTAGTGGCTAATTATTAAGCTTATCAAGTTATCAATAATTTAAGCATTGAATATTTGAATATACTAAGTATATGTCTTTTTATACGTTTAGAAAATTATTCTACCTAATGATAATATCTTTGATTAATTTAGATAGACCTTTCTCCATGAAAATGACAATCAAATTAATTTTTTCTACTTTTCGAAATAATTGTGAAATTTTTACAATATTAATATACTATTCCTGTATTCCATAACCTTTGAACTTCAAATTTCTTTTTTTTTTTCTTTTTCTTTCTTTTTTTTTTTTTAAATAAGTAATTCAAATATAACAAGAAAGAGGCCTCCCTTATTTTGAAGAGCCATATATATGATGATATCACGTAATTGATTATATGACCCTTAAAATAAAGATAAAGATAATGTTTTTGAGATACGATTATAATTTGCTTAGATCATAGAACATAGACTACCCTTGGCTAATTGGGCTTATCCTTTATAATTATTACTTTAAAAATCAAAACTAAATAAAGTAGGATGTGGAACCCATGTCATTAGTGACTAGTTGAATATATCAATTTTAAAAATAATGCTTACGATATTTTGTGTAATATTTATGATAAGGTTTAAGAAGTGTCACCCTTAAAAGTTTCAATTTTAAATTATTTTAGTACACTTTACCTTTGTAAAGGGACTTAGGGAGTATTTACTTTATACTAATCCTATGTGCTTTATCCTTAATGGTGTCAATCACATTAGATTATGACTATTTCTTCCCGGTTTGTTGCAAGCTAGCTAGTTGCAAGTCTTGCAACAATAAAATAAAAAATGTTGCAAATTATTGAATAGAGGATATATTTCCAAAGCCCGTGGGTCTATCACTAGGACAAATAGAATTTGATATTATATCATCATTAATAATTGTGTAGGGTAATTAACATAAGATATTAGCTAAGTAAGTCCATCCACTCACACAATACATAGAAGTATCATACTTGCATGAAAATTTTACATAATTTATTTGGAATGTCTAAAAACTTATATTTAAATTACAAAAGTCGAGATTAAAAATTTATATAAAATGTCCGGTAGCTTATATTTATGTCTCACGAGGAGTCCATATTCATACAATACTTTCTTTTTTTAATAAATAAAACCCAATGGAATTAAAAAACTACTTTATAGTATATAATTTTTGGAATAGAAAAACTTAAGTCATTCGCAATATGAAAGTGTTTTTATAATCTTTAACTTGAAAAGATGAGGACAAAAGAGGAAAAGTATGTGAAAAAGTGTAAATGTTATAAAAATAAGTGTGATAGGAAATATAAGGTAGTTGGTATTCATCAAATACCGTATAAAACAAAGTAAAATAAGTTAAGTGTCCTAAAATATAAAGCGAATAGGACAAAAAATAATGCGTCGTTTTCAATATGATGATCTCTTATGGAATTAATCACATAAAATAATAAAAAAAAAAGGTGAATATTTGAAATTTAGCATTAATATTAAAAAAAACAAATCATAAATACTTTTGTATTATTTAATTTTTTTTTATTTTTTTAGGAAAGCATTAGCATAATTGCATAAACTAAAGGAGTAATTTTTTTATTTAGAGTTATGTCATTAATTCACAATAAATTCATCTAACCAATCATAATTTAATAAGTATGAAATAGAAAATAAAAACTAAGTTGAAAATGGAATACATTTAGTATGGATAGATATTTTTGAAACAGCCAAAATACTACCTCCGTTGCAAGTTATGTGCAACGATTAGACATTTTTCCTCTCTGCTTTATGTCAAATCGTTGCACATAACCTGTAACGGAGGTAGTAGTATATGGACTAACAAATTAAAACAGGGAGTACCAGTAATAAAAATAAATAATTTATGACAATTTTAGATGACTATTGAGTATTGACTAGTATTGACTAGCATAATAGTACTATAGAAGGATTACGTTATTCATTTGGCAAACATCTTATGAGTGATCATACTTTGGAGGACCAAACACAACGATTACGATTTGCAAGCCACCTAGACACCTAGTTGGGCGGTCAGTGGTCACATCAAATTTCTTCTTCTTATTATTATTATTATTATTATTATTAGTATTAATTAGTTGTTAAAGTATTCAAAGTTTAATGGACCCATGTTTTACGTTCAGTCCAAATCGCTGCCAACTGGCCCTCGACACCCATTTGGGATGTTAATTAACACTATTTTTAAGTTAATTACAATTATTACTTGATTCTAACTTACTTAATACTCCCTTTTAAGTAATAGAAGAAGGATTAATGGTAATCTTGTCATTTTATCACGTACTTAGAAATATCTTCTTTTGGTTTTATCTTGCGAAACGAGTTGATTGTTCTAGGACATGATCAAATCTATCATCAAAACTAGTGTAACAGCACATGCAATTATGCTAATGCCTTGCACGGACTTCACTCACGAGTCACCACCTATACAAATTAAATTGAATAATCTTCTTTTCAAAAGTGTCTCATTTTGTAGTGCTTGTTTTTTCATCTTTGTTAATGCTGATTATTGATTCATAATACTCCCTCCGTCCCCGAATGATAGTCACTATTTCCATTTTTGGACACCCAAAATGTTAGTCACATTTCACATTTTTTGTTCCCATACAATAACACAAAATTACTTATATGCCCTCAATTTTTTTGGCTTTATTATCTGTGAAACCCAAAATACCCTTATAATTGTATTTGTACTTGTGCCATAATGAATGAATTGTCTCCCTTGATTTTTGGTGTTCTGAATACTTTTGAAATGGTGCTTTCTCTCTCTTAATTTCTCTCTCTTATTTTCTCTCTCTTCATTTCTTTGGTTTTCTGGGTTCTTCCATTGAAGAACGACTCATTTCTTCATTATCTCTCTTAAAATCGAGCAACTTGGGGTTCAAAAGCGCCGGAAAAATTGTTGATTTTTTCTGTACGTGTTCGAACGAATCAAAGCCCTCATCTAATTTTGTGAATCCGCCCTTTTTAAAGTATCGTTTTTTTTCGATTTCCTGTATATATTTTTTTTCAATTTTCTGGTCTGAGTAATTTGATTATATGGGGTATTTCTTGATTCTTTATGATGTTTTACTGAAATAATTACAATTTTCTGATTATTTTTGCCGATGTTTACTTCTTTGTCATAGATCTTGATTTCGTTCAATGTTATGGAGTATGATTTGGATTTAAAATATGTTCCCCTAAATCTTGATTATATTGTGAATATTTATGTTTGCGATTTTATATATTTTCCCTAGTAAGGTTATCTGTTCAATTTTGTGAATTAGGGTTTCACTGTTCACATGATTTAGGGGTCAATGTTCAATTGCATGTATATTTATTTATTCAGTTGCATGTACACTTCACTATTCAATATATGAGAGCTATGATTTGGGAAACAATGTTAGAGGTTTAGTTATGTATTGTTGACATTGTTATAACATGAGTCCTTTTGTTTGAATGCTTCATGGTTGAAACAGGAACAAAGGACCCATTGTTATGCATCTTGAGTGATTGTATACTCATGTTGGTTTGATGTGTGGGTGTCTTTAGTACTTGTGTACTCATATAATGATATTGGTTTGATGTGTGGCTGTCTTGAGTACTTGTATGCACATATAATGATATTGGTTTGATGTGTGGCTGTCTTGAGTACTTGTATACTCATATAATGATATTGGTTTGATGTGTGGTTGTCTTGAGTGATTGTACACTCATTTAAACATGTTGGGACAATGTATACTCATTTACACTTGCTTTTTTGATGGTTGGCTGTCTTAATTGGTTACATGTTGATTAAGTCATGATTGAGTGAGTCCCCTGGTTGCTTTTCAGGTTGCATGTGACCATGAGTCAGTCCCCTGGTTCAAATGAATCACACTCTCATCACACTCACGGCTATGAAATGTATAGAAAGCGGAAGGCAAGCAGAGAAGAGGTTGATAAACCATCTAATTCTCCAGCCAAACCACCAAAATCTCCAGCTAAACTCCCATCTACCTCTAATGTGAAAGCTCCTGCCAACTCTCCTGTCAAACCCCGTGTTTCCATTCCTTTGGACCAACAAACTAGTTCACTTATTGACAGGATATTAGCTGATTCCAGATCACACTACACATCTGAGTCCTACCAATGCACTGACCGTGACTGTGAATTAGGCAGTGGCTGTGATGGGAAGCACAGTTACAGCAATGAGACTTTGAGAATTAGATTTGGAATTGTCCCAACAGGAATGCCTCCTGCAGACTCTGACTATTGGCCTCATAATTGGTACAGAAGGCAATGCGGGAAGAAGGGTTTGCCAAGACCTTATGACAATGTGGACTCAGACTGTTCAGACTCCAATGATGATGATGGTGGTTGCTCCCCTTCTAAGTTGCCTATGTCCCAGAGAAAGGATTCTGATAATGAATCTCACAGCTAAGTTTCAGAATGCCTTGCTGTTATATGTTGTGGTTTCTTTTGTTTTCTAAGACTGGGGATAATTGAATGTGATGGTTGGTTGTATTTAGAACATGAGGATTATCTTGTTGGTTTTGTTTTGGTTTTTTTTTTGTTGTTGATGATGATGATCTTTGGTAGTCTTGTTGATATGCTCTTTTGGATTGGGTATTAATTTTGTTGCCTATTATCATGATATGTTGGTTAAATACGCCTTGTTGGTGGCCTATGTTGGTTGGATATGCCTTGTTTGGATATGCCTTGTTGGTTGCCTAAAATTGTACTTGTATACTCATGTTGGGTTGATGTTTGGCATTTTTTGATTACTTGTATACTCATGTTGGGTTGATGTGTGGCTGTTTTGAGTACTTGTATACTCATGTTGGGTTGATGTGTGGCTGTTTTGAGTACTTGTATACTGATGTTGGTTTGATGTGTTGCTGTGTTGAGTATATGCCTAGGATGAGGTCTGTGATGATATTTTATTTGGGCATTTAGAAGGCATATAGGATCTTGTTCATGTCATTTAGACCACAAGGTACCATCTTCCTCAAGGAATCTATAAAGCATGATATGAGTTTTATTTGGCTGCTCAATTTGCCTATTATGATAAAAACTTTAAAATCTGAGACCTTTTGTCATAACATGTCCTTACACTTAGTGTTTTATTACCAATGGGATATATGTTTAGATGTTCAAATTATTGACCACTTCACAATTATCCCATTAGGTAATAAGACATTATGTGAGTGATCCTAATTTGATAAGGTCAATGATGAATGATGGGAGTATGATGTTAGGAGGCATTTTGTTTTTGCCATATAACATGTATTGTGTTTTGGTGACTTGTTTGGTTAGATGAGATTGCTTGTGTGTCCTTTGTGTGAGCTTGTAATCCAAAATATAAGTCTTCAATGAATATGCACTAAATGCCCTGAGACCTTGCGTATGTTGTAATTTAACTTATGTTACTTATGTTGTTCAACACTTGGGGTGTGTAAGTAGTTTATATAATGGTATTTACCTATTTATACACTTCATCTGTTGAAACAACATAAGGTGTCGGTTTTATTTGACAATGATGAGTCTTTTTTTGTTGAGATGCCCAACTTTAAATGCCCTATCATTCTGCTATCCTTAGAGAATAACTCAGACTACTCTTGAATTATTTTCTTTGCTGACTATGGATTGTGTGTGGATGTTTGGTTGGTGTGTCAATGATGCTTGGGGACAATCTGAGTTAACAATAAAAGAGTGCAATGACAGTTTTAGAGCACTTTGTTTTCCAAAATTTTTGTGCATGTTTCATTCCATAATAAAGGATTTGATTACATATTTATATTCACCTAATGTCTTAACCAAAAGATCAGAACAAAATATAAAAATAAACATGCCAAATTTTTTTACACTTGACCCCTATTCACTACTCTGCATTGGCATTTGAAGTAGATGCTTCATGATCATTTGCCATAACAGGCCTATATGCCTCTGTGTTTGGTCTTTCTTGTGTGTTGTGCTCTTCAATTGCTTGTGTGTTGTCAATGTTGACCTCTTCAGTGTCTTGCTCATCATTTGAGTCTGGCTTGTCCATGTACACTATCTCCCATGCATCAATCACAGCCCACATAGGAGCTTCTATAGGATCTTGTAGCCTTCCCTCTCTTTCCAGCCTATCTTTGTTAACATGTGGAGGTTCAAATCTGTTAGAACCTTTACTTTTCAGAATTTGGTTCATTGTGTGGCACAAAGTTACCCACACCTTGAACAACCTATTAGGAGGTAGCTCACTAAATGCATCTTCAACAGCCTTTATCAACTGGTCTGGTGTCTTTGCCATTTTCTTGTGTTGAAGTGATTGAATGCTTCTGAAAGCCCAAATCCAGAACATTCATGTCTGGACTGTTTGGTGGTTGCTGAGTTAATATAAAAGTGAACCCTGGTTGTTCACAATGTTCTTGCCAAACTGCATCATCTTGAGTAATATGTGCCTTTGCATTATCTTGCTGAATGTAGATTGTGTTGTGTTGACCTGTGTGAGGCCATTTTTCCATAATTGCTGGAATGACTTTTTCAATCAACATCCACCTTGAGACATCCCTGTTGATTGTATCAATTACCTTTGTGACCATTTCTCCCTTTTTCCTGTATTATGAGGACCTAAGTGCTGGCTCCTTTTTTGCAAATGGAAAAATGCCTATTTTCCCATCAAAAATGACTTCTTTTTCTGCATTGTACCAAGGTTTTGCAACTGCTCCTTGGAACATGAATTTTGGAATGAACTTGGCTGATTGCATTACTCTATGTGGACCTTTTTCTCCTTTTGCTAAATATGACCTATGTGTTTTTTTAGTCAGTGTAAACAATTTTTCATCAATATGTACTGTATTGTACATTGACTGGTACACTCTTTTTGTGCCTGGTGAATCTCCTACAATGCTGTTAAGTATGAATCTCAGCCTATCTAATCTGTTTGCTGGTGTAAGCTTTGGCTTTAATGCATTTGTGTGAGGTCTGACTTCCCCTCTCTCAATCAGTCTCTGGATTGTGCTTTTACCAACATTTAACATTACTGCCAAGTCCCTTTGGCATGATTTGTTCCCCATTGCCACTGCCCTTATGGCATCATTTGGAATTGTTATTCTCTTTCTTCCACAATTGTGGAAGCCTGTTGACATGTTGTACTGTAACTGTGCATCCCTTTGTTCCTTCCCCTTTTTCCATATTCTGAGAATAGTTCTTGAGCACAGATTGAAATGATTGGCTGCCTGTTGAATGGATCCATATTTCAGGTTTCCATTTGTTGACCTTGTTAATAGTCATATCAAAATGTCTAACTTGGCCCCACTACTGAGCCTCCTCCTTGTTGGCTGATGATGAGCTTCAGAGTTTTCTGGGTTGATTGGTGTTTGCTGATTGTTGATGTTGCTTGCTGTGTCTTGGTGATCTGATGTTGCTTGCTGATTGCTGTTGTTAGCTGCTGTCTCTATATGGTTGCTTGCTAGTTCAGATGCATCTGTTGCATCAGGGGAAGGAGTTTGGTTTAAGTCAAACCCAATGTTGTCATGGTTATTTTCTGAGTCAATCCCATCATCGTAGACAAAGTTGAGATCATACTGAAACATTTCAGCATCATTAGCAGCAACATCTTCATCCATGTCATCATTCAAATTGAAGTCTGAAGCCATTTGGAGTTGGAGGCAATGATGTGATTTGGGTGTCTTTGAATGTGTTTATTTTTTTTAAAAGTGCCAATTTTCTGTTCTTGAATTGTTCTCTGTAAAATTCCCTCTCAAATGATTTGAAAATTTGAGAAGGAGTGGTTTTTATAAGATTTTAGTTCTAACATTAGTCATGAATCCGTGTACTTTCATTCTATTGGATGATGTAATTTTTCAGCTAATTTGATTGGTTAAAAATCAATCACAATGCATTGCTTTTTTTTCATTGGCTGTGTAATAAAGACAAAAAAAAAACCCAAAGGTTTCTCTTTGTAATCCACCCCTTTTTAATGACAACAACTTTCTCTCTCTACCTTTTGTTTTGCAAATGATTGGGTTTTAGTTTCCAAGTACTTCATTTATTTCTCCTTAATTCCCGTGATTTTCACCCAAAAGTGACTATCATTCGGGGACGGAGGGAGTATAATTTAATTTTAAACAAATGCAATTATATTTTATTAAAACTGTAATTATATATCTCTTCTCATCACATGAGTTTTTTCCCTCTATGTCTTACAATCATTCCTCATGCAATTGAACTTTTTGACATGTTGAACTTTTTTTTTCCTTATTCATATATTAATTTTGAATGTAATTTTTTTTTTCTTAATTAATTCATCCTCTGTTTTTTGAATATTTGCTTCACTTTTCATTTCTGGCCGTTTTTAAATACTACACTTACTACATTTCCTTATTTAAAAAACTTTTATATATACTTCATTTCTCTCATCTAATAGATTCAACATAAACTATACTACGCATATATTTGACCCACAAACTTGAAAAAAAATCGGGTGTACAATAATTATTGTACATCCATTATAAAGATAACCTAAAGTGATTAAAAGTTACCCCTGAAACGAATAAAAGTTACCCCAATATGCGTTAAAGTAACCCAATTCAAATAAAAATTATCTACGCTTTATTAGCAAAGAATCACATTTTAAATGACTAAAAATCAATTATTAGTGATTGAATGTAATTAAATTACCTTTATAAAACTTTTCTTGTTGTTGATTTATATAAAATTTGTATTATGTTTAAAGTTACCCTAAAATTAACTAAAATTTACCCTTATACCGTACGATTTACATTAATATTAATGTAAACCGGATGTATACAAAAGTTTTTGTATTTGACCATACCGTATTGTCGGAATTACTTATTTATGAATTACTCGATGAATCGTGAGTATACCATCAATGTTTTGTTTTGAGGGGATAAATTAGCTTAGCACAACATGCAAGAGAATCCAACAGATGGCAAACTAAATAAGGTGAAACAAAACAATTAAGGGGACCACACCACAACACGATGTCATTTTCCCGCGCCTTGTTTGGTTCGAATCAATGTGCAAAACAACCGCCTTAATTTAATTCCTTTCCGTAACTCAATCACCCAAAGAAGCCCCACCTCACCCCACCCCACCCCACCCCACCGGTTCGGACTTTAACACACCGGTCTGGTCAAACCGAACAATTAAACCGATGCCCGAAACAGGCAAATGGGGCAGCTTGGGCAGTTAGACTTATCCAGAAAGTGGGAAATTAAGGACTTGTTTGGCTCTTGCTAGCCACGAAATGCTGCAAGGGAAAAGGCCTGATTTGGAGAATATGACAAATTGGGTTGATTGATAATTTGAGAATCACGAAGGTTGAGCTTTTGTGGATAGACTTGTATTCATCAATTGTTTGTTTCATTGTGTATGGTGGTATCATTTTCTTGTATATGACGTTATTGTGAGGGGACCTGAAGGATAAGCTGTTTTTGTGCTGTGATCCTCGCAAATCCCAATGTATTTGCAATCTCATTACTCCGAGTTTTTTTTTTAAATGACTCGTTTTGACTTTTGACAATATTTATACACGGAATTCTCTGAATTTTGTGTGATCTGACTAGAAGTCTGTTCCGATTTACTGAACTGAATTAATTGGAGCTTAAGTGAGATGAGTAGGACGTAGTGAATAGATTTGAAATGAATTGTTTATGAGAGAAGAATATTAGGAACTGAAATAATTGAAGTTGAATTAAACTGAAATTAAGTTGAAAAAAACATGTCCTAATATTTTGATCTTTTCATCAACTAGCTAGACAAGCATGAACTATATCAAAAGTAAATAATGGTTCAAAATTTTAAATATCTTTTTAAATTTAATTAGTGTAGTCTAAATGACAAGGTAAGTAAAGTATAGATAATCAATTAAGATAACTTTAGACATTTTAAGTTTAGGAATAAAGCAAACAATAGGTAAAATCAATGTGAAAAAAGGGTTGTTAAAGAATAGTCTCAATACACAATGACAACAATTATTATTCATCCATCTAGATTTAATACATTGTCTATCTGTCTTTGAGCTTATTGTTAATGTACAAAATATAATTATAAATTGTTAATTTATTATAAGGGAGTGTTGTATATATAAATAAGGTAAAAATGTCTAAAATTTATTTCTATAATAAAACGAAACAATGATTTACTATAAATTATAAAATTTTACCATTTTAGGTTTAACATGTACATTTGATGTTTATACATTGCCAATTATATCATTCATTAGCTCAACTAAAATCTCCTTAAGAAAATAAAATCTTCATAGTTTTAGCAAGTTAGCAACCCTTTCCTAATTTTAATCCAACATTATGTTTTAGACAAAAAGCGAAAAAGACTATTTTTCAAATCTAATTTTTGGATGTGTTCATCATAAATAGAACGAGCAACTTTATAAATTTTCCAAATAGAAATATAAAATAATTACGGTATAAATAAAATTACAATGGCATCATTGTTACGACACGACACTAAAAACTTTTTCTGGTAAATTAATTTGACATCAAAGTTACACCAAATTCACCATATCTAAATTCCCTATTATTATTGCGTTTCAACTGCACTACATATAATTAATTATTAATCCACTCTATTTTAAAAATAAAAATTAATTTAAAAATAGAATCCCAAAAAATCAGGACCCTAGAATATCGATTTGATTCCCTCCGAATCACATACGTGGCACCCATCTAAACTCCCACTTCTCAAGCTTCATTTTCAAGCCACTTTCGTCGGCGCTCACTTCAATAAATATTCCCACTCGCAACAATTCCCATCCATCAGATCTCACCAACATCAACGGCTGATAATCAACCGTTAACTCAAAAGTATACAGACGCGTGTAGATAAAAAACCTAACCCTAAACCTGTTCTGGTTTCTTCAACCAACGGCCAGGATTTTTATTTTATTTTAATATAAAAATCAATATATGAAATTACAATATTACCCTTTTAAGTTCAGGTTTTTTACAAGTCACCCATCTTCTTCCTTCTTCTATTAATACGCTCTCAGCGACACCTCTAGGTTTGGAGAACTGAAATCCGAAATCCCCTTTTTTGGAAAAAAAAAAAAGATTTCCTTTCTCCTCTTTCTTCTTCCTTAAGCCATTGAAAAAACTCAGTTTCTCTCTCCTCTATATCAACAATGGCGGCTACTACGTCGCGCCATCAACGCTCTCACTCACCTTCTGGAAAATTCTGTGCATCCTCCATTTCCTCATCTTCTTCCTTTGCTTCATCTTCTCCAACTTTCTCATCGCAATCCGAAAATCTCTTCCACCGATCATCCTCCCCTACACGAGTCAGCATCTACGGCTCCTCTCCTCAAACGACGTCGTCATCGGTCCGATTCTCAATCGATAACCGACCGACGTCGCCGAACAGATCCTTCGCCGCCGTTAACCGGAATCGGAATCCGTTTCCGGCGACAACAGGGAAGAAGAAAACATGTTTATGTTCTCCGACAACACATCCAGGCTCATTCCGGTGTAGCTACCACAAGAATCTGGAAGCGAAGAAGCAGAATACGGTGTCGTATCAGCCGAACCGGTTGAACATGCGGCGATCCGCGATGACGAACTCGTTGGTGAGAATCGGTACAGTGGAAGGCGGTGAGTGGGTGAAACGCGCTCTTGCGACGTTGATCCGTCCTTGCGCGCACCAGCAAAGACGGCGATCCGATTTCCAACCGCGACCGAGTCGACTCAGTGCGATGTCGAAGGCGGAAGATGGTTGAATTTGTTTGTTGTTGTTGTATGTACAGGAGCGGTGGAAGCGGCGCCCGAGTTGACTCACTGAGTCGTGGATCGGTGCATCCGCGTTGACTCAGTGACTGAGTTGATGCTGAGTTGTTTCGCCGAGTTTTTGTTTTTGATTTTCCCTTTTTTTTTTGTGTGTATAGAAATCCTCCCAAGATCCGAATATTTTTACAGGACGTAGTGGTTGTTATGCATTTACTAAAATTAAATTACTAGATCTCTTGAAAGTCTTGAGTCAAGTCATAGTACCTGTTTATTTTTATCAAATGAATGGTGAATTTGAATTTACTAGTAGTTAATTAAATTTGTTTTTTAAATTGATAATTTAAATCACCAATTTCACAAGAATTGATAAATTAAATCACAAGAGTGTGTGTGTTAAATCTGATGATTAATCCATACAAGAATTCCATTTATTTTTCCAACTTTTTTTTTTTTTTCCTTTTCCAATTCAAATCCTGTTATTATAAATATCAAAACCCGTATTTTATTTTATTTTTATATATTTTGTATTGTATTTTGTATTTGTTTTTTCAATAATGTGTTTGAAGTATGTGTATTAGGTGTTTTATTTTATTTATATTTTATGTGTTTGTTTTTTTTTAAATTTGTTTATGTATATTTTTGGGATGATAAATCTGATATGAGTTTGTTTTCTTCTCTGCAGATTTGCTAGGAGCGGAAAATTTGGGAGACTGTAAAATCCAGATTGATTAAATTTTAAATCTGGGACGAGACTATTGGATTTTTAAATTTTTGTACAGGACCCTAGAACACCTGACAGGCTAACTAAAGTATCCTGACAAAATTAAAGTTTTTAAAATTTAATTAAAAAATTAAAATAAGGTTACTTTACTAATTTAGGTATCTTTAATTCTTACTCGTAATATCTAAAAGATGCCAATTTAAGGGGAATATGCCATTTGTGGAAGATTTAACAAAAATTAGCATTAAGGCATTTTTTTTTTGAAGAAAATTAAGGCATTTTAAAAACTTGTTAATACCCGTAAAGACAAATATCATTCACTCCGTAGTAAAAAAATTGTATTTAAGGGCTATTTACATTTATTGAATTAAACTGATTGAAATTGAAATGAACTGAACTGAAATACCCTTATCCTTATAAATTTGCTTGAAAAAGTTAAAATCATTACTCCCTTGTTTCAAAAGGATACTTCTGTTTAGAATCTTTGACTTTTTGAAAATAAGTGAGAATTTTCTAAATTTCTCTCAATTTATAAGAATAAATAGAGTCACGTGGCCACGTGGGATCTAGTTTGATTCGTTTTGATGAGTACATTATTAATACCTAACTTTTATATTTTTTTTGCTAATGTGATACTAAGGATATTTGCAGTCAAAGATTGGTAAAAATTTACATCGATTTACATAAACAGGAACATCATTATGAAATGGAGGGAGTAAATAAATTGTTTTAAAATTGATTAGAAATGAGGTGAAAGGAATTTTATTTTATTATTATTATTTTTTTAAACAAGTGAAAAGCTTTTTTCATACTCCCTTGGTTACATTTTAATTTTTATTACAAGAAAAGAGGAATTGTAAGTATATTTATACCTTAAAAATATAAAAAATATCATAGTGACTATTGGGATCTTTCTAAAAAAAAAATATTTCTAATAATCGAGCTTATTTTAATCCTTTCTGAATTTATTTCATTGTATAATGATATATGTAATACTCATTCCGTTCCATAATGTTAGTCTCATATACTATTTTAGGTGTTTTAAAAAGATCTACCCATATTAAATATATTTCATTTATAACTTGATTTTTTTACAAAAATTAATTGATTATAGATTGATGACATGACTCTTAATGAGGACATTTTTACCTTTAATTATGCAACTGTGACTTGTAGTTTCCTAATGAAAAAATCAAAAAAGTTAAATAGGGTAAACTAATTATGAATTATGTTGTACTTAATGTTAGATTCCAAATATATTTGTTTTCTTATTTTATGTGATTGATTCCATATGATACTAACATTATGAAATGGAGGGAGTATTAAATATAATTTCTAAAATGGAATTAAGTTGGAAATTTATGACAAAATCACTAACAGATCGATGTATTTAATGTTAATTTATTCTCAATATTTCCTTTTTTAGCTTCATATACTGATATACATAGTCATAAAGGTTATATTTATCATTTTCCTTTTTTTTTTTAAATGACTTTATACTTTATGACTTTTTCTATGCTTTGTGCTCTATGTTTGTACTGGACGAACTTGCTCGGATGCTTTGACTTGAACATGAAATAGAACGATTGAAGTATTGAACGAATTGATTTGGTCATGAATCAACTATTGTCAAATTGAGCCTACCTTTACAAAAATCACCTCACAAATAGAACCAACATGACCTATATAGGACCTCTCCTTGTTTAGAAATGGGCAAAAATGAATGATGTGCCAAAAATGCAAAACAAAAGCAATACTCTGTAATAATTAGTTACATATGGTTAATTTTTTTTTTTATTGAATAGCCATACATGAGATTAAAGCTTCCTACATCCCTTTCTGATTGATCCATTTGCCCAATTTCTTAATCCAAAATGATGAACTTATTTGCATTAAATAATCTTCAATTTGCAACAATATTTGTGCAAAGTAATATTTTTCTATTTTTTTTTCCGCAAATGCCATGTGAATTTAACTTTTTAATGTACTTTTACTATTTTTTCTCTCCTCTTGTTAATTCTCATGAAATTTGCTCAAATGAGTTATTAAAAAAGGGACAGATAGAGTAATGGGGAGTACTCCATAAATTTGCTCAAATGAGTTATTAAAAAAGGGACAGATAGAGTAATAGGGAGTACTCCATATGTAATGAACTAATGATGCAGTTGCAACCTCCAAGAATTAAAAGGGTAAAAAACAAAAGGCAAGAGGTTAGGGTGGTTGTTTACAAAGATGGTCCAAATAAGGAGTGCACCTCCCCATGTTTGATGGGCAGGAGGCAACCAAAATTGCAAACATCATTTAGCCTACCTAGCTATCTTCTCTTCTCTAGTTCTCTTTCCCTTTTTCTATTTACTCATTTAATTTTAAATTAATTAATTAGCATTATTTGTATTGCTAAATCTGAACAGCTGGCCACTGACAATTCTGAGTTAATATTGTGGTTTCTATAAATCAACCATTGTTTATCATTGGAGTCTGATAACTAAATCAGGCAGTTGATACTTTATTACTCTGACTCCAATAGCTGTAGCTCACATACGGAGTAGCATAATTCTCATTTTACTCCCTAGTATCAAACTATCAACTACTCCACCGGGATTTTTTTTTTTTTCAAAATTTAACTATTCATTAACTTAGGATGGTCCTATTTTAAAGGGTAATTTTCAAAACGATTTCTAACATATTTTTAGCTGGTTTGACCAATTAATAGTATCACATACTCACATACATGTTTTTGATAAGCATATTACAAAAAAATTAATCTTCTATCACTCTAAACAATTACCTTCCCTTATGCAACGTTCTCATCACCTTAAAACAAATAGAGTAATATTCAATAAAACAAACCACAAAAAATTCTACACCGTGACAATTTTAACTATGGTTGAAATAAGTTAGGGATTGTTTTAAGGATGCCCTCTAAGTTAGAACCGTCACGAGTTAATTAATAATTACACCTTTTAACAAAGAATGTCTATAGTAACTAATGAAAAAAAAAAGAGAGTAGTTCATTTAAGGGTCTGTTCTGATTTACTAAGATGAGTTGAACTGAACCGAACTAATTTGAGCTAAACTCAACTGAACTGAAATGAATAGAGCTGAAATAAATTGTTTATGAGAGAAGAAAATTAGGAAGTGAACTGAACTGAAATTAAGCTAAGAGAACATGCCCTAATTACGTATTGAACATTAATTGTGAAAAGATAATTATAGGTGTGTAAAATTATGTAGGTTAATCATTAGCCATCTATTTCGATTAATCATTAAATATAGGTCGCACAGTAACTAGTGACTAGCTAGTATGGTTTAGTTCAATTTCAGTTTAAATTGCTTTTGTGAATTATGAACGATTTATGGCACATAAAGCAGTTACTACTGCATGATATAAGAAATGTCTCTCGAAACATGACTCCATTAGCTTCCTTGAAGGTGCAAAAGCCTAATTTCATTATGATCCTCTTATCATGTACAATATTCATGTGAGTGCAATTCTTACATTAAATCCCGTTAATTACAATAAATTAGTTGTTGATCTTGTTAAAGGAAATGTCAAATTGATCTCCAAAATCATTATACACCGAGATTTTCTACTTGTACAAGATGTTTGTGATTGTTTATTTGTTTATAAACACAATGCTTGAGTATTAATTAACATGTTACTTCGCATTTGATACGCCCAACATTTGCATCATGCACAGTAAATCTTTAGTCTTTTTTTTATTCATTGATAGAACCTCACAAATTTTCTAGTTCCATGAGAAAAGAATATGTTTCTTTCAAAATTTCAGCTTTTAAGCAAAAATGCTTAAAGTTGTAGGTCATTGGGCACACCAACTCAAAATTGCGCCTGATATCACGGACATTCACATTATATTCAATGTTGAGTTGGTCCAGAGTATGTCTCTTTTACTATTGCATGTGAATATGTGATTATGGTACTCACTGGTTTTTCTTCACCATGCAGCGTTGTCTCTCTTTTTTATGCTTCGTCTCCTTTTTTTTTTTTTTTTTTTTTTCTCTCCCTAATTTACTTTAATGATTTAGGATCTGTTCTCATTGACTGAACTCAGTTGAACTGAACTGAATTGAACTAAATTGAATTGAACTGAGCTGAACTGAACTGAACTAAAATGAGCTTTGAACTGAACCGAGTATTTTATAAGAGAAGGAAATTAGGAGCTGAACTGAACTGAGCCATTCATAAGTTGTTAGAAGACCAACTTTAATGTCACTCAATTTTAGGTAAGTTATGTGGACTTGTGGAGTAATCAAAGGACCTGAAGACTAACTTGGACTTGATTATGTCAAATGCATTCAGCAAAGCTAATTAAATCAATTAAAAGTCAAATGCATTCAAACAAAGCACTTTAACCCCTACATGGTGATAAAGGAAAGTACGGAGTATTTTTCATAGAGCTCTTACCAACTACCCCCTGGTTCAACTCTTTAACTCAAAGAAAATTCCTCAAAAGATGTCTATTTCATTTCTTTATTTACAAGAAGTAATCAAATGTGGTATTGGAAGAATATCCAATACATTTCATCGAGGAGGGAAACAAGTTTTTTGGTTGATCTTAATAAAATAAATTAAAAACCGTTATAATGTTCCACACAAAACCCTTTACTTAAAAAAAACTAAAACGTACTTACATAATTACATTATTCCTAATGAATTAGTAATACTCTATTAGAACAGCTTTATTGGACCTAGGGAGCACAGTTTAAAATGTACATACTCCGTATATTATTCTCGCATGCTATATAAAAACATAGGAAGTGGATTAACCTCTTTTTTCTTGCATAATTATTACTTGACATAATGCCAAATGAATATTATGTACTATAATAATAAATTGCATACTTTATTATTTTATATTCAAATCTCCTGGGAGCGCCTTTTTTTTTTTTTAACCCTATATATAAATAACCGTTAGTTTGGAATTGGATATGATATAGACAGTTGATATTTGATAAACCAGCTAATATGGACAGTCTTGAATAATATACAGTGAAAGCCAACATCTTTTGCTGCTTTTATTATCACTACATATACCACACAAACACAAAACATCCAGTTGGAAGTGGGGGCAATTCACTTAAACCATCAAACGATCATGTTGTCCAATTCATCACCCTCCCTTATCCACATCCTCCTCATCGTTGTCGGTACCGCCTTTTTAATCTATCCGGCCACCGCTACCGACCACATTGTTGGTGCCAATAAGGGTTGGAACCCTGGAATCAACTACACTGATTGGGCTAACAACCAAACTTTTTATGTTGGTGATTACATATGTATGTACTTCATTTCTCCTTTATTTTGTTATACCAAGCTTATTAATTATTTTGTACGTACGTAACAAAAAAATTAGTATTACTAACTTTTAAGGCCCTGTTCTTTTAAGCTGTTGTGGTCTGGTCTGTTCTACTCTGTTTAGAAGCTCAAAAGAACAGGGCCTAATATTTTTTACATTTCTGAATGATCTTAACACTTTCCAATTTGGGTTGTATCGTATTAGGCAAATATCAATATATCATGGACTATGTGCATTTATATTAAATTGGTTAGTTATTGGTACATAAGAACTAAAATTGTGTGATTTTGCAGCTTTTAGGTAAAAGAAATCTCAAAAGAACAGGGCCTAATACTTTTTACATTTATGAATGATCTTAACACTTTCCATTTTGGGCTGTATCGTATTAGGCAAATATCATGGACTATGTGCATTTATATTAAATTGGTTAGTAATTGATACATAAGAACTAAAATTGTGTGATTTTGCAGCTTTTAGGTACAAGAAATTTGAATACAATGTGTTTGAAGTGAACAAGACAGGGTATGACAATTGTACAATTGAAGGAGCAACAGGAAATTGGAGCAATGGGAAGGACTTTGTGCATTTGAATAAGAAAGGAAGATACTACTTCATTTGTGGTACTGGTGGTTGTACTAGTGGAATGAAGGTTTCTATTGTTGTTCATTCTCTTCCTCCGGCGCCTTCGGCTTCTATTGCTGCCACCAAACACTCCTCTGAATCTACTAAACACGCCTCGGCTGCTTCGGAAGTAGTTACTTCGGGGCGGTTGTTGGTGGTGGTTTTAAGGGCGTTGTTAGTAGGTTTAGTGTCTTCAGTATTGACGTGGTGACAACGGTCTTGTGAGAAGAGGTGCTAAATTCATGTGTATCTTTTATTTATTCGAAAAAAATGTTTTGACGGGATAACCCATTAAAATTGTTTTGTTTTTGTAAGGGCTAAAGCGTTTAAATTAAATGTGGTTTTGTTTAAATTAATTCATGTGTAATGAAGAAAAGTGTGTTAATTTCATATTTGTGTACGTGTATCTTTCAGCTGCAAAATTTATAATAACAATACAAAAAAAATGGGGTGAGAGAGGCTCGAACTCTCGACCCTACGCGCTAGCCAACTGCGCCACCACCCCATATTAGTTGAACATTCAATATATATATATAAATAAAAGTAATAAAAAGTGAATGAGAAAAACAAAATAATAAATGGGGTGAGAGAGGCTCGAACTCTCGACCTCAGGATCACTCAACTCTAGCTATGAGACCTACGCGCTAGCCAACTGCGCCACCACCCCTTTTTGATAATTATTGTCGGGTACGTAGTACTACTTTTGTTTTATATTGACACGGTTAAACTTAATAGGGTAATAAACGTTGTGATAATACTCCTAGTCATTCTTGTTTTTCTCATTTGAAATCTTAACAATATTCACAGGTTAATTGAATATTCTAATATGATTAATAAAATGTTATTTATGTACAATTATCGTAACAAAATGGAGTATGGCTAATGAAACAACAAAACACATGATAGAGAGCACCAAAAGGGTATGGAATCCAATAAGTGCTCAAAGTGTCCATATTATTAAAGGTGTTTGTTCCAAAATTTCACTCTTTAGAAGTCCTGTACTTAACCTTAGTGTAACATTTTCGTAAGAAAACAATTATATATCTTGTAATTGAATTGTAATCAACAATAAATGTTTAGCATTATGAATTCATTAAGATAGTTTTGAGAGAACCAGTAGAACAATATGAAAGCATATACAATTCAAGCATAACGCTTATAGTCTCATTCAATCTACAAGGAGAACAAACAGTTTATCACTTGAACAAGTGAGCCAAATCTGGGTCGTCTAAATCCAAGTCTAGCCATCCATTCAAGTGCATGAACTCAATGTAATGATCTGGTGGCTTCAGGCTCTGGCAGTTCTTCACGGTGTAACCCTCAACCCTCTGAATATCACGAGCAAGCCATCGGGCAAAACCAGGGTCGACAGGAAGGGGAAACTTCAAAAGAAGTTCATCCTTCTCTTGCTTCGCAGGTTTGTTACCCATGAGCGCTGCACAATTTCAGAATGAGAATCAGGTCGAACTGGCTAATCATAACTAAAATAATACTTTGTACATCAGCAGAATGAAAAAGCAGCTATTAGGTTGGGAAAGGGATATAGCTTGCAGAGTACTCCAACAAATAAGATGATTGGAGGGAAGGAAAAGAGATAATTACAATAATTCGACAAAACAAAGGGGAAGCTTAAAATCTGCTCAAGTCCTAAATCTATTATGAATATCAGCACTCTTATTTGTCCCTATCACAATCAATTTTGTAATCTTTCAGATGAAGAACTTGCAAACACCAAGACGGCGAAACAGTGAATACAAGCAAGACAGAGCACTCAGTCTGCAGTCTTCACGGTAACAAGTAATACACTTGACTTCATTGTCTTACCACTCATCTTTAAACGAGAGGGAATTTCAGGAAAGATTAATGTGTGAGCTCATGTAATCCTACAGCTCTGTATCAGTTTAAACTTTAAACACCCACATTCACACGGAATCACACCCCTCAGTACCAGCTTCAAAATGACAGTTCATAGAGCTGTTACCAAACACAACTGGTACCATTACTTGTTCTGCTTAAGTTCAATAACCTAACCAAGTAACCAAAGCTCAGGCTGCCATGAATATGCTTCAAGAAAACTTCATTTTAGTAGATATCTCTTGCAATCTGATGCGACTTGAGATACATGCAGTGCTGAAGTACTTTTTAACATGTTTCTGGTAGAGCTATGAATCCTTACCTTTCCATGCTTGATACTGAATTAGACTATCTACGGCAGAAGGTTTTTTGTTACAAGCTTTCGGAGACTTGAGCAGTAACACCATACTAGTCAGAAAATAAAAATCGACAAAGCTATCCTAAATATAGTAGCCTTCAGCTAATACAAACTCCTTTACCACAAACAGAGATTCTTTTTGTTTATCTGTTGCTCATTTCCTGCAAATAATCCAAAAAGGTTTCCTTCCCACATTGCACCAAGGAAAACAGCTAGAAAATCCAAAATCCCACCCTCACCCCAATCCATGCTATTACAACCATTCTAGCCATAAATTATTTGGTAAACACTTTACACCTGGTATGGCAAATTGCCGATTGCTATAAAACATAAATGCAGGCATGGAGGGAATTTCAAAACAAAACTAGTCATATTAATTCCTTCTGGATATGTAATCAAGTTTAAAAGTGCACCAACAAAACTTTTCAAGTCAAGTTTAAAATTATATACACAAACCAAATAGAGACTATAAAAAGTATTTCATAGAGTCCTAGCAACCTCACCCAAAACAGCCTTTATTAGATAGCCAAACTTCAAATTTGACAAAACCACAATAGATATCAATACACCGTCTTGGGTATGAATTTCTATTAATGTTTATACTATTCTGTAAGCAAACAATGAAGAAAATGCTACACACTCTAATAGTAATTGTCTTGATCTTGCAGCTTTCTATAACAATGATCCCTCACAGTCACAGATTCAATTCTTGTCTCTGGTAGCAGCTTCAGTGTCCCGAATGCGAGGTACCACAATTGGTGCTCCTCGAACTTTATCAAGAGCAAAGCTTATCCTCATTGGACGACCTAACAGCTCCTTACCATCCATAGCATCTTTTGCAGTTATGGCATAATCATCCTTGGCAAAGTAAACAAATCCAAACCCTCTAGACCTTCCTGTATCCTTATCATACATTATCCTCACTTCTGTAACCTCCCCAAAATTGGAAAAAGCATCCATCAAAGACCTCTCATCAACCGACCACGACAACCCAGCAACAAATAACTTATTATTGTAGGATGGAGCTGAAACGGACGAAGACAACAAACGATACAATCTAAAATTCGATGTGGGGTTGTAAAAGGCGGCCGATGTTCTTCTTGCAAACATCTTTAGATAGTTCATTGTTCACACAGGCCTTTTTCCTGTTCAATTAGTTTAGACAACACTGAGAAGAAATTCACACTTTTTTTAGGGTCATCTCACTAAATAACTAACTTTCCTGTCATCCTTCTTCCTACCCACCTTCAAATTTCCACTCAATCACCATAATTATCAGATTCATCTCAAAATATGCAACCCCATCTAATTAATTTTGCTAATTAGTCATGCCCATATCATATATTTGTAACTATGAGAAGTTGTACCATTCAATAGGGAAACTAACCAAGAAATAATCACATTAAAGAACCAAATTTTAAATTCAATATACAAAATTACTACAATTAAAATATCAGGGTATAAACTAGACGAAGAAAAGTAGAATTAATAGATTCATCATCCAAAACTTAGGTTACCAATTAGCAATATCGAATTAACCACTAAAGGAGGATGAATTAGGGAAAATACAAGAATATAAGAAAGAAGAAGTTTAATAGAATACCTGAGAAATGAACGGCAGCCCAGAAGATGAACACTGCAGAGATGAAAAAAAAAAAAAAAACTGAGATAAGAGGAGACTAAAATGGAAGACTGAAGAACAACATAGGTACAGTACTAATCGGCTGTAAAATTCCAATAATACCCCTACATAAAGCCATTAATGGCCAAGTTTTAAGGGCATTTCTTGAATTTTACATAAATTCAATAATCAAAATTCCCAATTCATCAATTAGGGTTCTTAAATCTTCTTACTCACTCTTGAACAGCAAATCAATTTCCCACCTTTCTTTTTTAATTTACTGCTCTCAAAGTAATTAATCTTTATTCCAAATTGGAAATTATACCGGATCAAATGAATAAGGGTAAAATGTACAACATAATTGAAGAAAATGTTGGGAAATATGTTATCAAGGGTGATGCTACTTGTAATGAAATATGTTGGGAAATATGTAATGTGGTAGATGTGTTTAAGTTGTGGAATAAGGTTTTTTTGCATCTCTCTTTGGTACTGATTTAAACGGTGATGAATATGTTGAGTCTGTTACGAATAGAATTAATTCGATTGCAAGAGGGATAATTTTTTATGTTAGGAGTTGTGCTTATGCTGCTAATTTGTGTGCTCAACGAGGTATGGAGAAATTAGGGTGTTTGATAAACCCGATTAGAGAGTTAGTTAGGTGGACTAGGACATTTCGAGGTTACAAGAAAGTTTTTAAAACTTCTTGTAAGGTGGTTGGGTTAAAACCGAGATATTTCCCTCTGGATTGGTCAAGGAGTTGGAATTCGACGTATGAAATGTTATGTCTAATTTTTCCGTACAGGAGATATTAAGTAACAATTATAGAGATAATGTCGACCAAAGTTTAGATTTGCAATAGGATGTAATTAACTCTATATTTCAGTTGTTTAAGACGTTTAATGATGCTATTCAGGCCTTCTCATTGGTTTATGATGCTAATTGTCATCAAGTTATAATTTAATGTGTAGAAATTGTTCATGTATTTGAAATGTATGAGAATGATCCACTTTTGGGTTTGGTTGTTGGGATCATGAAGAACAAATGGTTGGAGTATATGTCTGATATACCTATAATATACTATATTGCTGCAATACTTGATCCTGGTATTAAGGTGGAGGGTTTATCAAATTTGTTAGACTATTATTACAAAACTTTAGGAGTGGAGTTACTTATTGGTGGAAGAGAAAGTTTTTGAGTGTAAAGACATTTTGAAGCGGCTTTATATTCATTATGCCTCCTTATACAAGTGAAAAAATGTAACTACACAAGTAACACAACCCAATTGTCAATCCCAAATGATGTCTTCAAAGGAAGATATGGAGATAGACCATTCGCTAAGATCAAAATTGTTTATGAAAATTTTGAAGAAGACAAGGGCTAGTTTTAGTAAAACAACACAATTAGATTAAACATGGGCAACGGGCCGTGCCGCCGCGGGCCGTGCCGTGGTGGGGGCCGTGCCGTGTCGGCTCCGCGGCGGGCCGTGCCGTGCCTAAAATTGGCACACCCCAGCCCACGGCACGGCACGGCCCATGTGCCTTGCGGGTCGTGCCGTGTCGGGCCGCGGGCCAAATCGTGCCACCCTTTTTATTTTTATTTATTTTTTAATAAATGAAAAAAAAAGAATTAAACGATATATATATATTTTTTAGTACAACTTAATATATGTGATTAATTTATGTTTATGTTAATGTTAATATAATTTGTTTACATTTTTTGAACAACTTTATTTTAATTTAGGTTATATAAATTATTTATCTAATTAATAATTATGTTTAAGTTTATATAAACAAATAAAAACAATTTTATTAATTTAGCAAAAAACAACAATGCATATAATAAAAAAAAATACGAGTGCGATAATCCGAAAACACAAAAAATTGAAGAATAACTTATTTTATTATATGACGGTAGTCGGTACGATAATTTAATAATACAAAATAATTAAATTATTTTATTATATGGCGGGCTCGTGCCGTGCCCGGCCGTGCCACGTGCCGGCCACCGTGCCGCGTGCCGTGCCAAAACTATTTTTTTTGTTCACGGCACGGCCCACGGCCCACAGGTGGGCCGCCGTGTCGTGCCGTGGCGGTGGTCGTGTCGTGCCGGGCCGTGCCGCCCGCGGGCGGCCCGTGCCCACCTTTATTAGATCAGATGATTATCTGTTTTTTTGGACAATTTATCTCTAAAGATGAGAACATCCTGGTGGAAGAAAAATGATGGGGTGTTTTCGATTTTGTCTAAAGTAGCAAAAGATATATTATGCATACCCACATCAATGGCTGCACTTGAGTCCACTTAGTACTTGTGAAGGTGAAAGGGTTCTTGATGAGCAGTGGTTGAAGTTTTAGCCAAGAGAACTTCAAGCTTGTATATATCTGCATACGGGCCGGGATTGGGACATGGCTGCAAACCGTGCACAATAGTTACAACTTCAACAAGTTTACAAAGATGATCCGTGGATGATGATGGACACACCGATTCAAAAACAAAGGGGACATGTATGCACAAAACTTGAATCATTCTATTTTCTTTCTCCTTGGAGAAGTAATCTGAAATTTGGGCTCAAATATGAAGGAGTCCTTGGTCCTGTCGACCCAAGAAAATGTATGCATATAGCATCTTAATATGTTCTATCTAGAACTAGAAGCTACATGAAAATGCTGTAATGATTTATTTAAGTAGCTATTTGTATTAACGGTTTATGTATGTTAAAAGTAGTTAATTATAAATTGATAGCTATTTAATTTGAGATTCTGGAGAATTCTAACTCAAACATGATTTAGGGAATATAGTGTGACAGCAATACGTGTTACATTATGAAACTTGTTTTGCATATGTAATTGCAAAAGTATTAGGTACTCATTCTAGTTAGTACACATCAAAGTGATGATAAGTGTTTGATCGAATTCACAATACTTAGGTAGGTAGTAAATGTTGAATTATCACATCAAAACCCAAATGTTGTTCATTTCAACTATATAGGTTAAAAAATTAATTAAAAAAAAAAACTTCACCAACTTAAAAATGGTTGCTTAGTACAAATACAAAATGATTATAAGACATTTCTAAATTAGTTCAATCAGGCTAAAAATTAGAAACAATTCAGAGTATAAACTTAAGGCATGTTCACATTTACTTAATTTCAGTCCATTTCAGCTCAATTCAGCTCCAATCAGTTCAGTTCAGTTCAGCTTCTAATTTCACTCTCTCATAAAATATTCATTTCAGCTCATTTCAACTCAGTTCAGTTCAACTTCAATAAGTTCAGTTCAGTTCAGTAAATATAAACACACCCTTAATTAACAAAAATATACTTTATTTTAAAAAAAAAAGCAAACAAAAATATACTTCAATACACAAAGTATTGAATTTCAACAAGTAAAAAAATCACACTCACAAGTCGAGTCAAAATTTTGGTGGAGAAAAACCTAAAAGTCTAACATACCCCTTCTTAACGTTCATCTTTATAGTGGAAACTCCTAACATTACCCCTTCTTAACGGCTACATTACAAGGGCATTTGCGGAATAAATAACATCCCATATAGCACTGTTAAAACGGTTTCACAGTTCGGGTTCGGTTCGGTTTGAAATCAGTTCGGTATTAAATCGGGTCAGTTTAAAATCGGTTTAAATGTCTCGCGGGTCGGTTTCAGTTCGGTTTAAATAGTTATCGGTTCGATTCGGTTTCGGTTTATTCTTGAGCGGTTTTAATTCGATTCGGGTTGTAAACGGTTCGGTTCAGTCGGGTTACGGTTTGTTAACGATTCGATGTAAACGGTTTTTATACCGGTTCAAACAGTTTCAGGTTGGAAACAATTTTCGAGTTAGAAACGGTTCGGTTCTTTTTCGGTTCATTTTTATTTTGGTCCGATTTGTTAACGGGTTCGCCTTTTATACGGTTTAACGTTATTCAGATCAGTTTCATTTCACGTTTACTAAATTATGGTTCGGAACGGTTTTTTATTTCAAAAAAGTCGGTTTTTAATTGGGTCGTTTGGATTCGGGCAGTTAAACGATTTTGGTTTGAAATTTCATAGTACTTGCTAACCTTTTGCTGGTTAACAAGTTTTATATCAAGCCGAGACTTCATCACTTCATATTTAGGCGTTAGGCATTATATTATATACAAATTCTCATCGGTTTTAAAAATACATGTCATGTTATTTTCAAGTTTAGTCATATTGATCTTACTAGTTTATTACGAAGTAACGTAGATTATAAAATTTAGTGTATCAATGAATTATTATTGTTTTACTATCACATTATTAGATGCTTCTTATTCAATCATCTAATTGATGTGTCATAATCATGATTTGACGAGTTATTGTGAGATTGAAATTACAGTTTGATTTATAGACGGTTCGGTTTGTAAGTGGTTCGGTTTATAAATGGTTCGGTGCAAACGGGTTGCAGTTTGTTAACGGTTCGGTGTAAACGGTTTTTACTTCGGTTCAAATGGTTTCGGGTTGGAAACGGTTTTCGGGTTAGAAATGGTTCGGTTCTTTTTCGGTTCAGTTTGATTTCAGTTCGGTTTGTTAACGGGTTCGGTTCTTATACGGTTTGACATTATTCGGATCGGTTTGGTTTCGGTTTTACTTAAATACGGTTTGGGTCGGTTTTCGGTTTTACAAAATCGGTTTTTAATCGGTTCGGTTCTCATTTGGGTCGGTTGGTTTCGGGCAGTTAAACGGTTTCGGTTTGAAATTTGACAGCACTAATCCCATAATATCAAAGCCCTATCGATTACCAGTATCAATTTCCTAACTCCCAATTCATCAATTAGGGTTTTAGGGTTCTATCTAATACTCTGGTTCAGCAATCAATCAATCCTTTACTCTTTCAATCTCTCCTAAACTTTATTATTTTTTCCTTTTCAATTAACCATTAATCCCAAGAATTATGAAAACTTCATCAAATCCAAATGAACTTGTTCCTGAGGTTGGAGCTCATTGAAGATTCTGCTTGCTCAAATATAGTTGGTATAATTCAATACTCCAAATTATTTTGATTAAATAATTTTCTACATATATTAACTTTGATAATTTTTGTTTAAAATCATATAAAAGTGATCATTTGAATGCATTGCTAAAATAACCAATAATTGCTGCATATGTTAGAGATAAAGAGGTTCTTAAGCAATGTTTTGTGAATATTAATGGTCTGTTGC